AAAAGGTCTTGTGTGTACAAGATGTTTAGTGGGAGCTATGAAGTCTTCTTGGTCTAGTACAAAGAGCAATTATTCATTTCTTGAAGGGTCAAGTGATGGCTAATGCATTTTGTATGGAAATCTTGAAGAAGAAGATGAGTACATTTGGGATTCAAAATCTATAGAGATAGGTTTTGATTAATGTTTGAGTTTGGTTAAGAAGCTTATATTGATAAGATTCTTATAAGGTTCAACATTATAGTGAAAGGAGTTTCAATCCCATGTAACATGACACATTGCTTAATGATTCAATACTTTGAGAAAGATTGATGAAATTAAGGTGTTGAGTGATGATCCTCATGCAATTTGCAAAGGATGCATCATGTATGTCATGGACTATACTCGTCTATTTGATTCACATGTTTTTAGAACAAGTGATAATAGGTTTCAATCGAAATCCAATGTGATGTTGGAATACAAATTAGAAATTTCTAATTTCCTTGCGAAAGGACAAAGGAAAATTCTTAGTGTATGGAGATGAAAATGATTATAAGATTTAGAAATTTCAAAATTCATGTTTATGAGAATGTCTCATGAGCTCTACTTAGTAAACCCCTTCCATTTCCAAAGTATGGGAAACATGCTGATGAAACTGGATTGAGGCAAATAATGTAATTAGAAGTTGTATTTGTTTTTGGAGAAAAACAAGTTACATATGTAATACATTCATTTGTAGAATTATGTTTATCAATTGAAACAAAGTTTCAATCTTATTTAATCGTGTTTAAAGATTAAATAAAATGTCCAAAATAATTATGAATTGATGGGCTCATCAGGTTGATGACCTGGTGAATGGAACCCCACAGGTGAACTAAATTCATATATTATTTAAGTTCATAGTTTGAAATCATTAAAGTGGACATAAATGATTTCAATTAATGGACTAGCATGTAAGATTGATTGGATAGCGCAGTTTCATGGGTTATAGGAGCGTAGTGAAGCTCGGTCAATCACATGGATATGCATGAATGATGCATGATCAAACTATAGACCTACTTTGAAGTTCAAGTATAGAGCTTCCGGATATATTAGTGGATTCCTTTGACATGAGTGGAACATTGATTTCATTCAATGGATGTTATGGCTGTGGTACACTCAAACGTCTGCCCGTAACTGGAGATTATAAAGGGTGTTTCCCGGTTATTTCAGAAGTTGAGTGGGAGCTTTGGTTGCCACAAGATTGGGTAGAGTCTACCTATTTAAATAGGAATGTGTCTTGGCCCCTTGAAGAGGGAGAATTCAGAAAATGCATGGCCGTGCTCAAATGGATTACATAGTAACCATTTGTTTTGTAATTCTCACTCAGTTTTCAAGAAAAGATTTGTAGACTAATATGATCACGACATGAGATGCAATCATATTATCAAATCGACACACATTGACTTAAGGAATTTGAATATTGCGCACTTGTCTCAGACAAGTGGGAGATTGAAGGAGTTGTGTCTTCGATAAGTGCAATTACTAGATATATCAAGGATCACTATTATGGAGATAATAAGTTCGTTCTCTTGGGGCGTCATCATCTGTTGCTAGACTATGAGAGATGATCTTTGGGCTAGTCAAACGGTCCAAAGCCCGCTAGATTGGATCCTATGAGGTCACACATAAGGGTATTGGGTTAAGCAAGTTAGAGGCCCATTATTGGGCCTCATGAGCAATTAACTAATCATGAAATGGATTGGGCTAGCATAGTTAGATTGGAAATAAGTTTTAGGCTTTTGACATGGGCTCTTATTTAGAGATCAGATCTATAAATAAGATCCATGCCTAGGGTTGCAATTAAGTAGTCATAATTCACACACAGTGAATTTTGACATCAAGGCAACCAATCCCAAAACCCTTATTCCCTCTCTAATTCACGGCTCCCTCTTCGGCCGGCCACCCTTGGTGGCGCGTGTGGTGGTTCGTGGTGGTTTATGGTGGTTCGTTGCTCGCACTTCTCCATAGAAGGTCAATTGAAGGGTTCAATTGCAACTATCTAGCATTAGTGGAGGTCTTAATCTGTGCCCGTGGACCAAGTAGAGGAATCACGCTTGAGGTTCTTTATCTCCCATTGTTCTTGCTCGATCGCACGTGGAATCACGCTTCAAAGGTACGATTATATGTTCTTTATGTGTTATGCATTAGATCTTGGGATTAGGTACTGTATGAATATGATTCATGTTTATTTCCGCTGCGTAGTACCTATAATTCCCTACAGGGATATCATTACTGAGGCAGGTTTACTAGATGCTAAACCTGCAGAGTTCCCTATAGAGCAAAATCACAAGTTGGCTTTGGCTCAAGGAGAGTTTTTTAATGATGTGGAGAAATATCGTCGTCTCATAGATCGACTGATTTATTTGTCTGTTACGAGACCGGATTTAGCATATTCTGTTCATATTTTATCACAGTTTATGCAAAATCCCAGGATTGATCATTGGGAAGCAGCTCTGCGAGTTGTTAGATATTTGAAGAAGAGTCCGGGACAGGGGATTTTGTTGAGATCTGATAGTGCTTTACAGTTGGAAGGTTGGTGTGATTCAGATTGGGCAGGTTGTCCTCTCTCCAAACGTTCCTTGAGTGGTTGGTTTGTGCTTCTTAGTTTGTCCCCAGTGTTATGGAAAACCAAGAAGCAACCTACTGTTGCTCTTTCTTCATCGGAAGCAGAATATATATCGTTGTATGAATGCAACGACTTGTGAATTAAAGTGGTTGAAACGTCTTCTTGGTGATTTAGGTGTTAAACATGAGAATGGGATGCACCTTTACTGTGATAGTCAGTCAGCGTTATATATTGCGCAAAATCCAGTGTTTCATGAACGAACAAAACATATTGAATCAGATTGTCATTTTGTTGGGGATGCGATTACAGATGGGACGATTATACCTACATATGTTCCTACGACGGTACAGTTGGCTGACATTTTTACAAAGGCTTTGGGAAAAGCTAAGTTCGAGTTTCTACTTTGCAAGTTGGGCATTTGTGACTCATATGCTCCAACTTGAGGGGGGGTATTGGGATATATTTAAGGAAACAAGATAATTGTGAATATTGTGAATATTGTGAGAATATATCCTAGAGAATATTGTGAGTTATTTTGGTCTTGCCCTCCAAGTATACCTAACTGATAAATATATTGTATGTGGCCATTGTGATGAATGAGAATTGCACAGAGAATTATTCATTATATTTTGTCAAACATCTTCACCATAGTTGTATGGGTCAACTATAACATAGGTAAAGATGAGCCTCGAAACGGGTACAACATGGGTAATTGGGTACTAAGGTAGATTAACCCTGTTTAGCAAACATATAGGATGAAAATATACCACTACATGTATATTACTCCGTAGGTGATATGTGGTTAATATTTGGGGGAAAATATTTAACGTATATGATGGTAAAAAGTATCACTACATGCATAATAGTACACAAAAAGTACTATTATTTATATTTTAATAGTAAATTATATATGCATAATGGTACATAATGGTACGTTATAATATATCACTGTAGGGTGAACTTTTTCCAAAAGGTTGTCAAATTTAAATTTTTTCCCTCCTATATGCGCCTAGTTACACTCACTAAGAGCATTTCCAACAATGAGCAAAAAAATGCTCATGAGCAAAACTTTGGGTGAAATTAAAACAAAAATGACTTACATCAATGAGCAAAAGTTAAAATGCTCATGAGCAAAATGAAAATTGCTCATAAGATGAGCATTTTTTAAGATGAATAGTAATCATGTGGGGTCCACAATACAAGTAAAAAAAAGAATAAAAAATTATCGGCTATTTCACCAAATGCCACTGAGTAATTTAAAAATTCACCAAATGCCATCGGACTTTTCAGAATTCACCAAATGCCACTGAGTTTTTAAAAAATTCACCGAGTGCCATTAATGACTAACGGCAGTTAACTCCGTTAGTCATTAAGGCTAATTATGCCACGTGGTGTATTCTAATTGGTTGCTTATTAAATTAGTAAATTAATTACTTAATAAAAAACTTTAAAAAAAAACACCCACCATGACCCAGCCCCAACCACCGTCTGTCACTGCCACCACCATATCTCCGCCTCCAGCCAGTCCCCACCGCGGCGCAACCCAGCCCTGAACAACCGCACCGGCAACGACGCAACCCAGCCTAGCTAACCCACGCCAACGACGCAACCCAGCCTAGCCAACCCACGCCAACAACGCAACCCAGCCGCGATTCACAAACTCTCTTTCTCCCTCGACAATCCCTCCCCTCCCCACCGCCGATGACCAAACTCCCCCCCCCCACGCCGGAGAACCCAAATCAGTTCATCCCCTCTGAGCTCCACCCTTTCAACCATCACGCCGGATCCCTAAATTAAAAACCCCAAATATCGAAATCTAGGGTTTCGACACCTTAAACCCCCAATATCGATTTCCCTTAATTCGAAGCCCCTTCCCCGCTCCGCGAACCCAAACCAGCCCTTCCCCTCCCATCTCCACCCCCTGAACCACCTCACTTAAACCCCAAAATCGAAAACCTTAAAATTGAAATTTAGGGTTTCGATTTTGGAGATTTCAATTTTGGGGTTTTAGGGTGTCGAGGATGGTGGTTTAAGGGGGGGAAGTGGATGGAGATGGTAAGGGTAGGGGGAAGGGTGGTCGCCGACACCAAAGAGGATGTTGGTCGCTGGCGTAGGGGCGGTGGTGCCGTGGGAAGAGTGGCTGGGGTTTAGTTTTTTTTTTTTTTTTTTTTTTTTTTTTGAAAACTTCTGATTTTAATTTTTTTTATATTTAAAATAATAATAATAAAGTGAACCAATTAGAATACACCACGTGGCATAATTAGCCTTAATGACTAACGGAGTTAACTGTCGTTAGTCATTAATGGCACTCGGTGAATTTTTTAAAAACTCAGTGGCATTTGGTGAATTCTGAAAAGTCCGATGGCATTTGGTGAATTTTTAAATTACTCAGTTGCATTTGGTGAAATAGCCGAAAAATAATATAGTAGAGAGAAATATAAAAGGGTATTAGTAAAAGTAAGAGAGAAGATGGTGTAAAGAGAGAATGAGGAAGAATTTTTTTTTTTTTTTTTTATCATTGGTGGGATAAAAATATGATCACAAAAATGCTCATGAGTTAGAAGAGAGAGAAAGTGGGTAGAGAGAGAATGAAGAAACCAATTTTTGCTCATTGTTGGGAATGCTCTAAGGTAAGCTGGTAAGGTCGAAAGGGGAGGAAATTTGTCACTTATGAGAATTGAACCTTGCACCTCGAGGCGAGCTCTTGGAGTCCTAGGCCACTTCACGTCTTCACCAAAGAAGAGAAAATATTGAACTGATCCAATTTTATTTCCAGTTTCTTTCTCTGTAGTTCTACTTCAACCAACAGTCCAACACCAACTCGCTTGTAATCCCTTCACTTGGTTTTTGCAACAAATCCAAATATCATGCCTTTCTGAAGAATTTCTACTGTTACATCTTGCCCTCAAACCCCTTCTCTTTTAATCAGGTAAATTTGCTTTTCTTCGTTCTCAATTTTGATATTTTTCTGTTCAAATTATTCCCCAATTTTGACCTAATTATATGTTATGTTATTATGTTCAATTGTACCGCTAAGCCCTTATTTTGTTCGAATTTGTTAATTATACAACTAATTTTGATCTAAATATATGTTTGATGTAAATACTACTGAATTAAGCTTTTCAATGTTGTTGCTCTATTCAATTATATCACTAATTTTATGCTTGCTTGATGATATTCTCTGAATTGAACCTTTCAGTATTGTTTTTCTGCTAGAATTATGATGAGCTTAATAAACATGGAATCTACTTCAAAGAAAAGTAAGGCTTCTATGAGAAACGATGCAAGAGATAGGTTGAGTGAATTGCCTGATGAAATTCTGGTGCACATTCTTTCATTTCTGCCAATTTTAGATGCTGTTAGAACTGTGTTGATTCGTAGATTTGGTAATCTTTGGACTTTGGTTTCCTCCCTTCATTTTAAAGACTATGAATTTTTCAAAGCAGAGAATTGGCCTGGTATCAGAATAGACTATGATGAACATATTCCTCGTTTTACTAGTTTTGTACGCAATGTGCTGATGCTTCACAAAGGGATCCCCGTTGATAAATTCCTGCTTCGTTTCCTCGATGTGGATGTGTGTGATGATGATTGTGAATCATTTATCACAGATATAAAATTGTGGATAAGATTTGCAATAGGTAGAGAAGTCAAGGAATTAGAAGTTCAATTTGAAATTGATGATTTTGATTTGTTTTTGCCTCGCTGTGTCTTCACAAGTCAGTTTCTTGTTAAGCTGAAATTTGATCGCTGTGAAATTGAAGGGCTAAGTAGAGTCCAAATGGGATCTCTAAGAAAATTATCACTTACCTTTGTTAAGGTGAGTAATGAGATGTTCAAGAAAGTCATATTTGGATGCCCTTCTTTACAAGAGTTGGTTCTGAGGTATGCATATGGCTTGAACGAGCTGCAATTTACTGCTCCAAACATTGAAAAGTTAGATCTTAAATCCCGTTACTTAAGTGTGCTTGATTGCCCCAACCTGAAAATTCTAAATATTCATCTCAATTGTAGCACAGTATCATGTCTTCAAATAGATAATATTTCATCTGTTCGTGAAGTTCATATTGGATATGTGCCCCGGTTTGAAAAGATTGTGAACCAGATTTGTAAAGCTGAGGTTGTTAAAATTTCGGATGGAGCTTTTCTGGTGAGTTTTCCTGTTTAACCTAGAACCTTACACTTAGTTTGATTTTTTATATTGTCCAATACTTCAATCTCTTGTTGGCAAAAAAGTTCCAACTTTGTTGTCTTCTGGTCGTGTTGTCTTGATGTTAGTTAATGCAACCATATGCCCTTCATCTTTTATCTTACAATAGCATTCTGTTCATTATGCCTTGAGTAATCAAATTTTGTACTAAATCAATCTTGAGTAGCTAGATATCTTGCCTTGTAAAGCTCTACTAGTGCTAATTATTGACCATTGCAAAATTGGTATTAAGTCAATTTAATCGTGTATATTTACAATGGATTTAAAACACGCAAAATAATCATGGGATTATTATTAATCAAATGTACTACTTGACATGCGATTATCATTAACCAGAAAACTCTGATTTGATAACATGATTGTGCTACTTTACTAGATCATCTATTTGTGTTTAGTATATTACGGAATACAGAGTATTAATATATTATACAATCATTGGACAAGTTATAGGAGAAAGTAGAAAGTAGAAAGTTAGGTTATCGATGACATACCTGTAATTTTCATTCAGCAATCATTCTTCAAGGAGTTACATGTTCCACAAACCAGATGGAAGTGTTTACATATTGTGTTATATGAAGACCAGTTCATAGGTATTTGCAGAGTCTTGAGAAGTTTACCTCACTTGGAAGAGCTCATAGTATCTTCATGGAGGAAGGTAGGTGTATGCAGTGCATCATATTTATTTGAAATGTATTATTTTTTGACGGGTATTTGAATTCTATTATTAGCCTGACTTTTCTTTAATAGTTTTTTCATTCAATGATGTACAGGATAAAACACATGACCACCACATGCTCTCCGAAGAGCTCTCTTCCCCTTGTGTGATTCCACAACTCAAAACTGTCACCGTGCATTGCTGTGCCGTACCTTGTCAGAGTCTACTTCTGCTAGCAAAATTTTCGCTTAAAAGTTGTGTCAACTTGGAAAAGATGGTAATTTTACCCAGTATGTGTAATGTAGTTGAGGACTTTAAGTTTGTGAAGCAATTATGTAGCTTTCCAAGGGCTTCAACAAACGTAAGGGTAATCTTTGGTTCAGATATTTACTAGTACCAGACTAACAGCTGCACCTTTGCTACTCAGTCTTGTTCGGCTTAAGTATCAACGATGGTGGATATTCTATTCGACTGCTGATGAAATGGCTTAACTATAGTACTTCATGCTATGTTTTAAGCTTGTATTGAGCGCTGAAGGTTACTTGGCAGTCAGAAGAGTTTCTATTTCTATGTCGCGGCCAGAGTGAATGTATAGTTAAGTTGTTTTATAACGCCAAGGTTTTCAAATTCTAGGATTAAATATCTTAGGTGAGTATCCCTAATCATTTCTTTTGATCTACATCAATTTTTCCATGTTTATAGATGTAGATAGTTATGCTAGCTGGAAGATGTATCTTTATCTTTTGACCTACATCATATTTTCAAGTATGTTTGTACATAGATCTGGGTGATGGTTTATAAACCTTCGTATATGCGTTAAAGAAAGAGTTTTTCTGATGCATACTATAATGTGGTACCCCCTCCTCTTTCTTTGACAAATTATACTATAATGTGGTTGAGTGGTTCCCTTCCTTTTTTTTTTTTTTTTGACAAATTATGCTAGTGTGATTATGTGATGTTTGATTTCCATTGAAGCTTGGTTAATTTGACATTCACTTTAATCTCTTTGATTTTATACACTACTTTGTTGTTGAAAAGTGAGTGAATTATGTATTTTGCATATTACTAATTAACCTTGGCTGTATTGCTAATTTTGCTTTCAGGATTTTACTCATTTAAGACGTGTGTTCCTTTTTAGTCTAAAAAGTGAGTTTATCCAAGGATTTTACTCACAGATTGTTGGATCTAGTTTGTACTCTGTTTATAATATGGCTCAAATGTGTCTCAACTCTGCTAATAAGTTGGCTCAAAGAATATTACTCGGTATATTGTTTCACTTAAATTTAAGGCCTTAATTAATTAAAAGTAATGTGTCTCTCCAATGGTATTGTTTTTGACACTAGCTTCTATGAGAAAATATTCTAATGTGCATGCTGCATAAACATTATAAGGTGTATAAAAACAAATTTCAGGTCCGAAAATCTTACTTGTAATTTTTAGTGTACTAGGGCAACCAACGCGTGCAATGTGCGCTATAGCTAGCTGTATTCAAAGTTTCTTTCGATTTTGTCTTACATCACAAATTAAGTTATTGGCAAATTTAGTGAAAGAAAACATATAAATAAATACTTCCTCCGTTTATATTTAGTTGCAACACACCCCTTCAGCACGCATTTTAAGAAAGACATTACACTTGGTAAACGTATAAATTAATTTACAAAATTTTACCATCTATAAGAAGAAAGGAATAAGTTGCTATGATTTAAATTTTATAGCTTAATTCATTCGTTTACCACTAATTTGAATCATAGCTGAGGTAGTTGCACAGACAAAGCATGTCACTGCCGTGGTTTTAAGGAACCTTCTTCAAAACTTAAGTCAACTAGTGTGTTTCTTCAAAAAAATAAAAATAAAAAATAAAAAATAAAAATAAATAAATAAATAAATAAAAAAGTGTGTCTGTGTGTGTTTATAAGAGAGAAATTAATGAAAACTCAAAATATCCAACTCCTTTACCATTATAAGTGATTTACTCCGTACTCCATCCGTTTTAAATAATTGCTCCATTTCCCTTGAACACACATGCCGATGTTGATCTTTGATCACTAATATTTTTAATTATCAATAAGTATAAATTCTAACAATTGAAAATTCCAACAAGTACTCACAAGACTATATTTTTTCTTAAGTATAAATCACAAACATTAGTCAAAGTAGGACAAATGAATAGTGCAAAAAATAGAAATGGAGCAAGTATTTAAAAATGGAGGGAGTATTATTTATTGGTGTACAAATTCTGTTTAAGCCAGAGCTGTACGGGTCAAGGTCAACTAAGCCCCAACAAAAGTTTTCTATCATAGAAAATTGGAAATTGATTTTGACATACCCTTTATTGATTTTGGCACATCTCTAAGTGAGAAGAGCATAAAAAATTGTGCTTTCATATAGGATATGCCAAAATCAATAAAGGATGTGCCAAAATCATTTCCCTAGAAAACCGGAACTAGCAACGTGGAGTGCATCCAGGCGCACGGGGGATTAGGGGATATTTGTGAGAAATGAACCTTGTACCTCGGCGAGATCCTAGGCCACTATATAAGTGATCCAATTTCATTTCCCGTTTCTTTCTATCTTGTTCTACCTCAACGAACACCAACTCGCTTGTAATTCCTTCACTTGGTTTTTGCAACAAATCCAAATTTCATGGCTTTCTGAAGAATTTCTACTTTTACATCTTGCCCTCAAATCCCTTCTCTTTTAATCAGGTAATCTGCTTTTCTTCGTTCTCAATTTTGATATTTTTCTGTACAAATTCTTCCCCAATTTTGACCTAATTCTATTTTTCGGTGTAATATTCTCTAAATTATGCTTTTCAGTTATGTTATTCTGTTCAATTGTACCGCTAAGCCCTTATTTTGTTCGAATTTGTTAACTTATTCAATTATACCACTAATTTTGACCTAAATATATGTTTGATGTAATTAAATACTTCGTACTATCTGAATTAAGCTTTTCAAATTTCAATGTTGTTGTTCTATTCAATTATACCACTAATTTAATGCTTGCTTGGTAACACTCTCTGAATTAAACCTTTCAATATTGTTTTTCTGCTAGAATTATGATGACCTCAATAAACAAGAGATCTACTTCAAAGAAAAGTAAGGCTTCTATGAGAAATGATGGAAGAGATAGGTTGAGTGAATTGCCTGATGAAATTCTGGTGCACATTCTTTCATTTCTGCCAATTTTAGATGCTGTTAGAACCGTATCGATTTGCAGATTCGGTAATCTTTGGACTTTGATACCCTCCCTTGTTTTTAAAGAGACTGAATTTTTCGTACCAAAGTATTGGCCTGGTGGTGCAATAGATATTGATGAGCAAATTCCTCGCTTTACTAGATTTGTGCGCAATGTGCTAATGCTTCACAAAGGGTTACCTGTTAATAAATTCTTGCTTGAAATAGATCCGATTGATGATCAGGAAATGGTAGATCTTGATGTATGGATAAGATTTGCAATTGATAGACAAGTCAAGGAATTATATGTTCAATTTGGTCCATCTGGTTATTCGTATGATATCAATTTGCCTCGCTCTGTCTTCACAAGTCAGTTTCTTGTTATCCTCGAACTTATTGAAGGTAACATTGAGGGGCTAAGTAGTGTCCAAATGGGATCACTTAGAAAATTATCACTTAACTGTGTTAAGGTGAGTAATGAGATGTTAAAGAAAGTCATATTTGGATGCCCTTCTTTGCAAGAGTTGATTCTGTATCATGCCTATGACTTGGACGAGGTGCGATTTACTGCTCCAAACGTTGAAAAGTTACATATTGATTCCGATCAAATAAGTGTGCTTGATTGCCCCAACCTGAAAATTCTAAACGTTCATCTTAGTTGTAGAACAGGGTCATATCTTCAAGTGGTTAATATTCCATCTGTTCGTGAAGTTCTTATTAGTTCTATGCCCCAGTTTGATAAGTTTCTGAACAAGATTTGTAAAGCCGAGGTTGTTAAAATTCAGTATGAAGCTTTTCAGGTGAGTTTCCTGATTCTGTACTTCAATCTCTTGTTGCAAAAGAATTCCAATATCGTAGTCTTCTGGTCGTGTTGTCTTGAATCTTGATGTTAGTCGATGCATTCATATGCGCTTCCATCTTTTATTAAATATTTGAATTTTTGCTAAATCAATTTTGAGTAGCTAGATATTTTGCCCTCGACAGCTCTAATGGTACTTATGATTGACCACTATAATCACATTGGTATCAAGTCAGTTTAATCTTGTATATCTCAAATGGATTTAAATCACAGATAATATTTGAGAAATTCCTAGTTTCTCATTTAGAGAAACAAAATCTGTTTCTCTAATGGCATATTCATAAATAATTGCATGTTATTTTAGTAAAACCGATACTTTTTGCCCCATAACCGCTACTGGTTGTGCCCCTAAACCGCTACTGGTTGTGCCCCTAAACCGCTACTTCATTTATGTGATTATTATCAATCAAATGTACCCCTTGAAAAACATATTTTGTCCGGGGCTCCCTCATAATATTTATGTGATTATTATTAATTAAATGTACTACTTAACTTGCGATAATTATTGACCAACTCTGATTCAATAAATCATTTAGAAATCTTGTCAAGGATTTTTCTTTTCTTTTCTTTTCTTTTTTTCCTTTTTGGTAGGTAAATGATTATACTACTTTACTATTGATCTATATTGGTGTTTATTAAATTGGTATATAATCTGGAGCTGGACTAGGAGAAAGTAGAAACGTAGATTATTGATGGCATGCCTGTAATTTTCATTCAGCAATCAAACTTCAAGGAGTTAGATATTCCGCAAACCAGATGGAAGTGTTTACATATCGAGTCACGGCTTGATGAAGATCAGCTCATAGGTATTTGCAGGGTCTTGAGAAGTTCACCTTACTTGGAAGATCTCATAGTATTCACAACTTTGTGGGGGAATTTGCGACGAAAATCGGTAGGTGTATATAGTGCATCACGTTTATTTGAAATCTATTATTAGCCTGACTTTCATGTAATAGTCTTTTCATACAATGGTGTACAGGATAAAACACATGACCACCACATGCTCTCTTCCCCTTGTGTGATTCCACAACTCAAAACTGTCACCGTGCCTTGTCAGGGTCTGCTTCGACTAGCAGAATTTTTGCTTAAAAGTTCTGTCAACTTGGAAAAGCTGGTAATTTTACCCGGTCCATGTAATCTGGTTGAGAAGTTTAAGTTTATGAAGCAATTATGTAGCTTTCCAAGGGCTTCAACAAACGCAAGGGTAATCTTTGGTTCAGATATATACTAGTGTCAGACTAGCAGCTGCATCTTTGCTACTCAATCTTGATTTTGGCTTATCAATGATGGTGGTTATTCTACTTGATTGCTGGTAATTGATAATGGCTTAGCTAAAGTACTTCATGCTATGTGTTAAGATTGTATTGTGTGCTGAAGGACTTGGCAGTCAGAAGAGTCTTTCTATGTCGCTGACCAGAGTGAAATGATAGTAAAGTTGTTTTATACCAAGGTTTTCGAATTCTAGGATCAAATGTCTGAGGTGAGTTTCCCTGATCATTTCTTTTGCTCTACATCAGTTTTTCCATGTTTATATATGTAGATAGTTATGCTATCTGGAAGATGTATCTTTATCTTTTGACCAACATCATATTTTCAAGTATGTACACAGATGTGGGTGATGTATAAGCTACGGCATTGGCTTATAAATATAAATCTTCGTATTTGCATTAAAAAAATGGTTTCCTAATGCATACTATAATCCCAAACTTTTTGTATTTTGTTGGTGATAATGTGGTATAATGTTAGAGAAATTATGCTAATGTGAATATGTGGTGTTTGATATCCATTGAAGCTTGGTTATTTTTACGTTCACTTTAGTCTCTTTGATTTTATACACTATTTTCTTGTTGAGAGCATAAGTGAGTGAATTTTGTGTTTTGCATTCTACTAAATTAACCTTTGACAATATTGCTGATTTTCCTTAAGGATTTAGTCATTTAAGACATTAACATCTACTCCCTCTGTTGCTCCGTGTTCCTTTTTAATTTAAAACGTGAGTTTATCCAAGGGCATGATGTTCTTCCTACGCTCGAATGTAGGATCTAATTTGTGTCTCAACCCTGCTTATAATTTGGCTCAAAGGATCTTACTCTGCATACGAATTCACTTAAATTTTAATTCCCCTATAAAATTCAAAGTTATGTCTCTCTAATGGTATTGGTTTTGACACTAGCTTCTATGAGAAAATATTCCAATGCACATGCACATGCACATGCACATTAACATTACAAGGTGTATAAAAACAAATTTCTAATCATATAATGGTAATTTTTAAGTGTCATGAGTGGCTTAAAAGAGTTAAGAATATACTTTTTCTTGAATAATTGTTAGATTTGTTTCATTGCTCTAACTCCAAAAAAGTAAAGGCCATCCATGTGGTGAGCTAATTTTAGGAAAATACATTTTATGACATTTTTTTTTTTTTTTTTGACAAGGACTGTTTAATTAATTTAATTTTAAAATATAATTGAGAATAATAGGAAAAGAAAATTGGAGGGAAGCGAATCGTGATTTGTGAGCCACACAATGTTCTCCTGACCTTGTAGAGTTGTACCCAGTAGTGGTTACATGAGTGGGGACTACTCGTATTATCCTTTGAAGGAGAGGGAGTATAATGTTTTTATACAAACTAAATTTATGAACTCCTAACAAATTTTATGTCTAACTTCTAAGCTCTATCTAAAAGCGCCAAAGGTACCTAGTGTACTGTAACAAAAGCTTACCTCTCCATTCCAATAATATTGTAGCAAAGCAGTGGCGGATCCAAGATTTTATGGGTGCTGAATTACCGTCATCCATTAAATGCATACCCATCGATCCAAGAGGTGAATTTTAATTTGTGGAGGATGATTTTGTAATACAGGAGGATGATGAATTTTAGACTAAAGAAACTTGTCGTCATATCTTTTTCTTTTTCTTCCATTATGAAATTTAATTGACAATTTCAATAATAGTTATTGATATTTAATTAATTGATATTGCTCATATAATGAATTTAGGTTACCATTATGGATCGCACTAAATAGCTAGGTATCTGTCTATTGTGAGTAGTGACAAACCATTGAACCACCAATGCACAAGTATAATTGTATGCTTTTATTTTCTTTTATGAGGAATTTTAAAGGAAGGAATGTTAGGCATGTAATAATAAGGGGTATTCATGTAATTATACATATGTACAAATGAATGCATATTCTGGTATCATTGGATAATCAAATAGTATCGTTGAATATACAGTGAGCACATGATGGTATTATATATGCATTCAGTTGTACTAAATTTATGCATAAATGATACCATTGAGAATTCAATGGTACTATATAAACTTTCGGTGGAACAATCAGCATGTGGTTCCCCATCAAGTGATACAATCCGACCAAAAAATAGGTAGGGTACACCTACAAACCTCTCTCTTCCTATCTCTCTCCTATTTTCTCTCTCTACCATGTGTTTTAAAAATATTTTAACCAATGTTATGTACTTACAAATGCATAATATTCCTCCATTTTCACTCCCTCCTCTCAAATCTCAATACCTTATTATTATTTTTTTTCTTGACTCAGCATGACCTCTGGGTCTGCCACTGGCAATAAGAATGAAATTATGGTATCTCAAAACATACATACTACGTATTTTAAAAGTTGATATTGCAAAAGTATTTTATAAGACGAATCTGACAAGATTCTACATGACTATATTTTGCTTAACATATTGATTATGTTATAAGGTCAAACAAGAGTGGTGAATAATGCAAAAGTTTAGTTATTGCAATAATATTGAAATACGGAGGAAGTACTAGGAAATAAAATTTCTATTAGACTCTAAGGGTTGAGGCACAAACTAATATATGTTGTTGTGACTTAAATACCTTTCATCTAGGATTGGTCAGGAGCCGAATTGAACGCCATCTAATACAAAGTATGATTATTGATTCAATCAAGTTCTGTTAATTGACTTTATACCCTGTTCTTTTAAGCTGCTCTGCTGAAATCTACTCTATTTGCTTTGCAGTTTGTGGAAGTCATGTGATCATGTCCTACTTTTGCTCTGCCCAAAAACTCAAAAGAACAGGGCCTTAGTGTAGTACCATGATAAATGTTGCATTGATAAGGATAAATCAAGTCTGAGGAACTTAACTTTAGCTAGATTTCTAGACCATAATTCAACAATAATCTACATATATTGTTAATAATCGGCTCTATAATAGCATTAGATTAGGCCATAATTCAACAATAATCTACATGTATTGTTGATAATCAGCTTTATAATAGCATTAGATATTTAGATTAGACCATAATTCAACTTATTGGCTTATAAAAAATCAGAAATTATAATTTTAAGTTTGGCTGCTCAACTCGAAACTTAACCAAATCAATTCCATACTTTATTCGTGTATATGCCCACACATACTTCTATTCTACTTGTCAATATTAACAAATTATTCAGGTTATATTTAGGTGATGAGTCATTCATACAAGCAAGTAGAACTATTTCATAATCTTTAACCATTTAGTCCATCATTTAAGATGTTAAGATAATTCACGTATAATGGAACAAGTTGTTGTTATACATTGAAGAAGAGACAGTATGACTAAATTAACACTCACAGTACTCTCTTGTAGGTCCTATTCTCACAAGGTGCTCAATAATAATCCTAAGCTACTAGATTAATCTTCTAATCTAAAGACAAAAACTTCTAAATCAGTCCAATGTTGAATTTTCTACCTATATATCCCTATAAAGTGATAAAAGTTAATTATTGCCAGTTTAATTTGTACTGTAAAGCACTTATTGTAGGCTAGTTGAGTAGGTTGACTACGATCAGCATTGGCTCTTTTCTCTATGCATGATTATTTGAAACGGGGTGTTGGATAAACATTTAAAAATTGCCTAAAATGGTACTCCTATTAATTTTGAAAAGCATGATAAAATCACGCGTCGATCGGTGTAATTAATGTTTGTTTTAATTTAATCTTTCTACTTTTAGCTAGTTTATCCAACGCCCCTGCGACGTTCGTTAACTTTTGCCTTATAATAATACTACTACCTCCGTTACATATAAGTTGCAACTTTGGGGATTATTTGTGAGAGATAAAATATTCCAAAATTGCAACTAATATGTAACGGAGGTAGTAATATTTATTGTTTCTTTAAATAAATTAAATAAACTAGTTTTTAGCTCGTGCGCCAATTTATAGGCGGTTTAAAAAGTTGTGGGAATGTTAGCTTAATTCAAGCTTGCCCCAGTTTTTCAATATGAGAAAGTAAAATTGGTAAATAATGGAGTAGCAAATTTATCATTTATTTTATTTTTTTTCTTTTTTTGTAGCTGACTCAAACCCTTCCTCTTCATTTTTCAATCTTTCTCATCTTCTACAACCTTTCCCATCATCAATGGCTGACAAACTCCAACAACGTAACAAACATCATGAACAACACCACTAACACCATGTACTCCAACACCAACACGACCATCTCTGGCGATTTTGCCGCCAAATTTAACAAAAAACCCTAAGAAATATATATATATAGGGTCGGAATCCGGTGAGAACCACCCTTTATGTGAGAACCCACACCTTATGTGAGAACAAATCTCAGCTGCTAGATTAGATGAAATCCAACTGCTGAGATTATAAGCATGCCTACAAGCTAACTTTCAGCATCTAATTTATCTCTCCCCTCTATTATGTCTGCAATTCAAAGCTCATCAATGACGATTTACTTATCAATGGCGATTCACTGAGTATGCTCTTCTTTCGGCAAATTTCAGCTGTTTCTTTCTGCAATTTTCAACGGTTTCTTTTTGCAAATTTCAACGGTCGCAATTTCATCCACCATTGAGGTTTGTTCGTAATTTTAATTTTGAATTGCATGTTAATCTGAATATTCAATATATTTTGATTTTACATCTCTGAAAAATTTGGAATTGCATGTTAATTTTCGAATTGAATTACATGTTAATTTTCGAATTACATTAATCGAATTGAATGTTTAATTGCATCAATTATTTGATTGAATTGAATCAATTATTTAGGTTTGATTAATTTGATAGAGATTTTAATAATATCAGATTAAACTTTATAGTGATTGAATCAATTATTTATGTTCTTATTTTCAATCAAATTCAAAATGAGCAAATAAATTAAAATGAGCAAACCTAAATATGTATAATAGAACAAAGGGGATATGAAATGAGCAAAGTGGATATGGAATGAGCAAAGTCATATAAAAATGAGCAAATTGAACTTTGTTGTTATTATGTTCTTATTTTCAATCAAATTCAAAATGAGCAAATAAATTAAAATGAGCAAACCTAAATATGTATAATAGAACATTTAAAATGAGGTAACTACAATTAAAATGAGCAAATATTAATGACATTCATAAGTAATTCAAGGATCTATAAGTTTTACAAATAATTGCTTGTAAAAACACTAAGTATACAGAATTGTGTATGTATGTGTGTGTGTGTGTGAGAGAGAGAGTGTGTGTGTGTGTGAGTGAGTGTAACAGTGTGTCTGTGTGTGAGTGTGAGTGTGAGTGTAAGAATGATTGAGTGTAAGAGTTTATATATGTGGGCATTGAATTGCATGTTCATTTGACAAATGAGCAAACCTATCCCCCCCTGCCCCCTCCTCTTTCTGCTTGCAATTCTGATTTCAGAAACTGATTTCAGTTATAATTATAGATTATGAAATTATTGAGTGTGTGTGTGTGTATGTGTGTGTGTGTGTGTAAGTGTGTATCTATGTCTGTGTGTGTGTAAGTTTGTTTAAGAATCTGATTTCAGTTCTAATTATTAAGAGTGTGTTTAAGTGTGTTTAAGGAGGTGCATATTCACAAATGATAAGCAACAACGAACAAGTTGAGAGTCAATCAAGTACCATCACAAATGTGCCAACTACTCCTACAATAGTAGTTTCTCCTAAAGTAGCACCTTTGATCACTCCTGGAGGAACAAAAGAATGGCATCCAATATGCCCCAATGAGTTGAAACTAGCTATAGGGATGAAGTTTAATAATCTTGAAGAGGGGCTTGAATTTTATAAAGGCTATGCATTTTCTTCTGGTTTCAATACAAGGAAGTCTACAACTAAAAGACAAAGAAGAAGCAAAGAATTAAAATATCAGTATATCTTGTGCAATAAGGAAGGATACAAAGAAAAAAGAAAGACTACTGTAGAAAAAGATTTAAATAACAAGGAAGGGGAAAACAATGAAGAAAAATCTTCAATCAAAAGGAAGAGACTCGTTACTCGTGTTGGGTGCAAGGCACATATTATCCTAAAGCATTGTGATGATAACACATTCATAGTGACAAAATTTCATGAGGGACATACTCATGCACTTTATACACCTAGCTGCAATCTATTCCAAAAAGAAGGAAGGAAAATGAACATTTTACACAAAAAAATAATTGTGAATAATTCTAAGGTAACACTTTCAAATTCTCTTATGTTTCATGAATTCTATGTATGTTCTATTAAAAGTTGTTTGCTCATTTGACAAATGGGCAAATAATTTTTTTCTCATTTGACAAATGAGCATTGAATTGTTTGCTCATTTTAAAAATGAGCATTGAATTATTTGATCATGTGACAAACTGTTTTGTTCTTTAAATAGGTGAATATTGGTCCCGTTACAACTTTTCGAATGATGAAGGAAATTGTTGGAGGATATGAAAACATTGGTGCATCTAAGGAAGATTTCAAAAAATTTCATAGAGATTTAAAAGCATACATTCAAGGAAGCGATGCTCAAATGTTCGTGGATAACTTTACCAACAAAAAGCTGATGTGGAGCGCTTTTTTCTTTAATTTTGAGATGGATGAAGATTATTGCCTTTGTAGAGCATTGTAGGCAGACCCCCTTTGTAAAAAGAGTTATGCTCTATTTGGTGATATGGTATCCTTTGATACCACATACCAAACCAATAGGTAATTCATTTATGTGTTATTACTAGCTATGGCTGAAATTAATGACTTTGTTTTAAATAAAATTAGTTTAATTGCTCATTACTTCTATGTGGAAATTGAATATCCCCATAAGTCTAATATTCTTTGATAAGAGTATGTATATGAGCATTGAATTATTTGCTCATTTGACAAATGAGCATTAAATTGTTTGCTCATTTCACAAATGAGCATTGAGTTATTTGCTCATATGAGAAATGAGCATTCAATTATTTGCACATTTGACAAAAGAGCAAAGAATTGTTTGCTTATTTCACAAATAAGCATTGAGTTATTTGCTCATTTGACAAATGAGCAATCGATTATTTGATAATTTTTCAAATGAGTATTAAATTATTTGCTCATTTAAACTTTATTTTGTATGTGTAAACAGGTACAACATGGTGTTTACTCCATTTACAGGCGTTGACCATCATAAGAATTGCATTAATTTTGTTGTTGGTTTCATAGAGAAGGAAGATATCATGTCATTTGAATGGTTGTTCAGATCATTCCTCAAGGCAATGGGTGGGAATGAACCTAATTGTATGATCACAGATCAGGATCCAGCAATGAAAATTGCTATTAGAAGTGTGTTTAAGAAGACTGAACATCGGTTCTGTATGTGGCACATAATGAAAAAGTTACCAGATAAGGTGGAGAAATCAATCATGCAAGAAGAAACTGGTTTCCTAAAAAAATTATGTGCTTGCGTTTGGCACCTTGAAATTGAACCTGCTGAGTTTGAAGAAAGGTGGAACAAGGTGATGATTGAATACCACTTGGAACAACATGAATGGTTAGGTTATATGTACAAGATAAGAGACAAGTGGATTCCGGCCTATTTCAGAGATGTGTTCCTTGGAGGAATAATGCGTACAACATCAAGATCCGAAAGTGAAAACAACTTTTTCTTCTCCTTTATCAATCCTCATGTGTCACTTGTTGAGTTTTACTTGAGATATGAAGCTGCAATTGATGCCCAGAGACACACTCAAGGTCAGAATGATAATGATTCAAAGCACAAATATCTTGAGTGCAAAACACCAGTAGGGATAGAAAAGCATGCCTCACATTTATATACTAACTCTGTCTTTTATGATTTTCAATACGAGGTTGAAATTGCTTGTTTTTCTTGTGGTGTTGATGAATTGAAGAAAGAAAATGAATTGGAAGTTGCAACAGTAAGTGAAGGAAATCGGACTAGAACATTTGATGTTGTGTTTAATCCAACTAACTATGACACCACATGTTCTTGCAAGCTATTTTGTAGGCAAGGAATTCCATGTAGACATATGATTTGGGTTTGGAAAGCAAAAAGGTTTGAAACCATTCCCGAGCAGTATATGCTACACAGGTGGACTACTATGGCATTAAAGAAACCAATTTTTGACTTGGGAGAAAACATGTTGGAGCAATGTGCTAATATAATAGACAAGAAAAAATTGTTAAATGATTTATGGTCAGAGATACACACTTGTGTAAGTTTGGAAGAAGGCAAAGATGAAGATATTCAAGACCTTGTGATAAATCTTCAAGGAATAAGAAAGGATTTGGAAGCAAAGAGGATTGCAAGAAATAATGAAACAACAGCTGGAAGTGCAAAAAACACAGAGCAAGACATTGAGCTATTGATTGGAGCTAGTGTGCCAAATGAAATAATTGTCAAACCTCCAAAAGTTTCAAAGAATAAAGGGACTGGAGTTCATGTATCAAATGAAGAGACTTCAAAAAAGAAAGCGACTGAGATTGATGTGTCAAATGTTGAAACAAGATGTAGAAGTGCAAAAAGGCTTAAGGGAGAAAAAGAAAAGGTTGTAGAGCAAAACCAAAAAAAGAACAGATTATGTAGAGGTTGTGGTGAATTGAGTCATCATGATATTAGAAATTGTCCAAAAAAAGTGTAATGGTACTTTTATATACATATAAGATTTTGTTGAATTTTTATATTTAATAATATATTATTAATTTTGAACTAATCATAGTTTAATGCTTTGCAATATTGTTGAATTGAAAATAGAACATATTCAAATTAGTGACTAAATATTTGTTCATTTCTCGAATGAGCAATAATTCCTTGCTCATTAATCAAATGAGCAAATAGTTAACTACTCATTTTGTCAAATGAGCAAATAATTATTTGCTCATTTGGTAAGTGAGCAAATTAGCTATTATATGAACTTGGAACAATTGCACTCTTGTTTCATCTCCCAATCCAAAATCAGCTCTCCTTGGGTCAAATGAGCAAACATATCTTTTCTCAATCATCAAATGAGAAAGTAATTCCTTGCTCACTTAGCAAATAATCAAAAAAGGTAAAAGCTCATTTCTTAAATGAGCAAAAATAGTTGTTCATTTGTGAAATGAGCAAACATTTCTTTATTCATTTATCAAATGAGCAAGAAATTCTTTGAACATTTATCAAATGAGCAAGAAATTCTTTGAACATTTATCAAATGAGCAAGAATTCATTGATCTATCATTTAATGAGCAAACATCTGTTTGCTCATTTAACAAATGAACGAATATTTCAAATGAAAACGGATGTATATAACAAGGTATGTGAAGTAAAAACAAAAAAAAAAGATTGAATTTTAATTCAAATATAATCATCACTATAGTAAAAAAGGGTAGGCTTCTATTGGTAAAATCTGTTTATAAATCAGTTTTACATTATTCAAAGACTACTTAAAAGTAGATAAAATCTTAATTTACCCAATTTTCTAAACCAAAAAAGACAAATCATCACTACTAACTATTTAATTCCCTAACATTCAGCTTTCTTCAGTCTTTTGCTCTTTCTTCCTTGAACTTTTTCTTCTTCAGGCTTTTCTTTTTCAGCATTTTCTTCTTTGTCAGCAACAGAAACTTTACTTTGCTTTTTCTTCTTCTGAGCAATTTCTTTAACAGATTGAATAGTGTTCACTTCACTTGTAATTATTCCCAGGGTGTATTTTTCACGAAGTTTAGTCAAGATTATCAGCTGCAAAACAAATAACATAATCAAACCCTATACAATTAAGGAGATTTCAATAACATGAGCAAACATGTAAAAGTAACACCACAAGTTGCAGTTGTAACTTGTAAGGCAATGGCCTACGGTATTGCTAGATTAATGGACCATAGACCTCAAAATTAAAGTAAACATTTGATAGGAATCCTTGCTCATTTGTCAAATGAGCAAACATTTCTTTGCTCATTTGATAAATGAGCAAGTAATTTCTTGCTCATTTAGCAAATAATCAAAAAGTTAATTGCTCATTTCTTAAATGAGCAAAGAATTAGTTGCTCATTTGTGAAATGAGCAAACATTTCTTTGTTCATTTATGAACTGAACAAGTAAATCCTTGCTCATTTGTCAAATGAGCAAACATTTCTTTGCTCATTTGATAAATGAGCAAGTAATTTCTTGCTCATTTAGCAAATAATCAAAAAGTTAATTGCTCATTTCTCAAATGAGCAAAGAATTTACATTATTTTTCTTCAAACCAGGATCCCACTTTGCACAACCCATGTATGTTTCCATGAGTCTCATCACTGCAACTCCACAATGCAAATGATTTTTATCCGAAGACTTCCATGAACCATTAATCACAGAAATTTCCATCCGCTTGATATTATTTGCCAAAATAGAACTCTGTACATTTCCTTCACATTGTATAAAGTTTGAAAAAGCAGTTCTCTGAAAACAAAAACATCAAATAAGGAAACATAATAAAATCTAATCATTCAAGTAAAAGAAACAAACATAATGTGAATAGAGATTAACTTTTAAGCCATACCAAATGTTTTAAAAGCTGTTTATGATCTCCAGCATCTTTGTTATAATAAAAAAGCTCGATATTACCATTCAGTGTGGTAGTGTTAAAACATACCAAATAGTAATGATCTTCTTCATAAACTGGGAAGAAAAAAAGCTGAATATCCTTGTGTGGTACAACTGATTTCATGTACAAATTCTCAGCAACCTCAAAAAACATCTTATTCCGATGGGCAACAGAATCTATCTCATAGTGAATAAGACAGTCCTACATGTTAAAGAAAAAAAAATTAATTACAACAAAAAAACAAAATAATTCAATAAAACAAAATAAATGAAAGAATTTGAACTTACGGTAGCACTAAGGTCAAAAAAGAAACGACCAGGAGAATTTGGATCTCTAAACTGCTCATTATAATTCAGAATGCTGCACCAAGCATTAATGATCTCTGTATCAACTTTATATTTATTATAAAGATTCTCAAGATGTACTCTCAAAATTTCAAGACCATTCTCTCCATTAAATACTGGTTCACTGCATAAAAAGAATAAAGAAAGTTAGTATGTCTAAAACAAATGGAAGTTAATGAGCAAAAAATTAATTGCTCATTTGACAAATGAGCAAAAAATTAAGAACTATAATGCTCCTACTCACAAGAAATATCCACATATTTATCATATATGAGTTTCACATTTACATAAAATACTTTTTCTATATTCATGACATGCATATGAGTAATGCAAAAGCACACATATGGCCACTTGCCTCTATGCATCATACTGAGAAGAACTCTAAAAATAAACAAAAAATTAATATTGGCTTCCAGAAAACTCATATAAATACCTTCTTTGGATCTTGTTCACTTTCTTCATTTTTTGTACGAATTGGATCAGATTGTTCCTAAAGACAAACATAAACAAAACAAAAAAAAAAGAAAAAGAAAGTTAGAACAAGTTGAAACCAAATATCCTAACAAATATAAACCAAGCTTACTTATAACACATAACCAATTGCATAATTTGCTCATCTGTCAAATGAGTAAAAAATTATTTGCTCATTTCAAATATGAGCAAGTAATTGCTTACTCATTAGACAAATGAGCAAAAATTAGTTGGTCATTTCCAAAAAGAACAAAGAATATTACAGTATATATGGTTACCTTATTGGCAACTACTTGAGTTTCCACTTCAGAAGGAATGAATTTTTCCTAAATAAAAAACAAAAAAGTTAAAAAAGTAGGATAAAAAGGAAAAAAATAAAACAGAAAATTATAGTTAAACACCATTTTAGGCTGTGTCATGCTAGAAGAACCAGCATCAAGCTTTTTAGCACGAATATTTCCAAGCCTCCCTTTAAAGAGTTCCAATTTCTCACGTGTTGACAGCATAGCTGTTGTCCACCCTTTCAAGATTGGAATTTTACGTGCAGCTCGAACTTCCTCAAGTACAAATTGATCAACATATAATAACTACAAACAAGTAAGAAAAGAAAAATTAGTAAATTAAAAATCAACAAATAAGTAAGAAATACTACATTAAAAATATACAAAAATTATAGTAATACCATAAGAAACAATAAAGACCCAGGAAAAGAACGAGTTGGACGTTCTTCCCATAAAAGCTTGCCCTTCACGAGAGAATCAAGGATATACTTTGACCAATTCAAGTCCTTGATTTTATCGACATCAGAAAGAAATGTAAGAATATCAGAATTAATATTCATGTTTTGTTTCCCTGACAAAAAAATGAGCAAAACAAAAGAGAAATGAGCAAATAGAAATTTAACTGAGCAAAATAAAATAGAAATGAGCAAACTAAATTGAAAATGAGCAAATTGAAAGTAAAATGAGCATAATAAAAATAAGAAGAGTGCCATCCATCAGTGTAGACACACAAAGAACTACAAAGTTCCGTTTGAACATAGCACCAGCTGACTTATGCTCCTTCAAAAACTCTTTAAGCTCCCCTATTTTGATATAGAGTGAGTTGCTTTGGAATTGCTTTTTCCATTGTTGAATGACTTTTTTATTTATGGAAAAATTATTTTTATCAATCTCTATGCCCCCTATTGGCAACCCAAGAACTTCATGCACATGGTCTTCAGTAATACGGAAAGGATCAGAATCAGGAATATTTAATGAGCACGTCTTAGCATCAAAGTGCTGCACCAACCATAAACCCAACCGCAAAGGCAGTTGGGTCACCTTCAAAAACTCCATCGACCCAAATCCTATATCCCTAACTGCTTTCAACTGATTTTGTGAAAGTAAAACTGATTCCATAACTTGAACAATGGATGAGGGTGACATCCGATTATGCAATGTCCCATGAATGTGAGACTTCAAACCTTCCACTTCATTACCTGACTTCAAAACTTGCAATTCATTGCTGGATTTCATCTCCACTACCTTAATCATCTGTTTTTCTTTCTTTAATGTGTCCTTTAAAACCATTTTTCCTTTGTCATTAGAAGATCCTGTCTTGAAACTCATTCCTTTATATTGTGGCTGTGTAGAACGACCAACAACTCCTAATTGTGCTGGCCCTGCCGCATCTTCGTCACCACCAACAACTCCTAACTGTGATGCCCCTGCTGCATCTTGGTCACCACCAACTCTTAACTGTGCTGCCCCTGCTGCATCTTGGTCACCACTAATAACTCTTAACTGTCCCGCCCCTGCTGCATCTTGCTCACCAACATTAACAGCAGAATTTGTCTCAACAGATGTCCTGCTCAACAAAATAGGTATCCTTGATGTCAAATGAGCAAATACTTAGCTACTAATTTAACAAAATGAACAAAACTTAAATGCTCATTTCTCAAATGAGCAAATAATTAGTGCTAAAATGAAAAACAAAACATAAAATGAACAAGTTATCAACTACTTTCAAAGTTGTGAAGAAGTTAGAGAACTTGTTTTTAAACTCAAATTCTTTCTCACTGATATCTACTTTAAGACCTGATGTGCAACATAATGAACTAACTTCTAGGCTTCTAATGTGAAAAGCCGAACAGTAAAACGCCTTCTAACTATCAGTTTCTTGGCTTCTAATGTGAAAATCCGAACTAAGTACACAACGAAGTTGGTAGCTTTGTGGTGACAATAGTAATAACATTGCACAAGGAATTTTGATTGTGATAATTTCTAAGACAAACAAAAGAGATGTATTGAAAATTACTTCCCATCTTAAACTGTTTTTTTTTTCCTATTTGCTTTCACATACAAGTATTAACCTGTGGCAGTTTTAGATGTATTGAAAATTACTTCCCAACATAATCTACAACTTTTTATTGCTTGTAACTGTCAATTAAAAATCTAATATTTCATAAATGAACAACAAAACATAAAATGAACAAGTTATCAACTAATCTACAAGAACTCCCATACAAGTAATACAACTAATCAACTAATCTACAACAACAACAAAAATAATAATAACTCAAATAATAAAATAAAATGAGCAGAAACACATACATTGTATTTTCTTGAGGAACATTTGCAGAATCCATAGCAATTACTTCTAGGTTTCCAAAAAAACAAAGAAAATGTAAGATAATTACTCATATCAAGCAAAATGAAAACAAAAATCAACTAATAATTACTCAAATAAAGTTATAATCAAACAAAAAATAAGATAAAACCAGAAAATAAAACATAATTGAGAACTAAAGAAAACCGAAAATCAAATTAAAATACACAAAATAATTAAAATACCTAAAATCAAGCTAAAATGAACATAATAGCACAAATTATCAGTGAATTGTAGGTTTTCAAAAAAACGAAAAAACTGGACAATAACGAAAATAAGCAAAATCAACTTGATAACTACTAAAAAAACGAAAATAAAACTGAAATCAATGAAAAAAACAAAGTAAAACATTATCGACAAAAATTGATAAACAATGTGAGCTGAAATCAGCGAAAATCAAACGAAAATCAAAATGAAAATCAACAAATGTAACTGAATGTGACCTAAAATTAATTGATGAACACGAAAATATAAACAATAAACTCACCTTGAAAAACAATTGATGAAGATTGGAGGAGTAGTGATGAGAAATCAGAGAGAAAATCAGAGAGAAAAAGAGTAGAAAATAGTGAAATTGTGAGGAGAGAGGAAATAGTGCGTGAAAGAGGAAGGAGAAGAGAGAAAAAACACAGTAGTTTTGTTTGACCGGGATTTAATTGTGGTCGTTGGATGTAATTGATCCAACGGTTATAATTAGTCCTCACATATAATAGGGTTCTCACATAAGGGATGTGGTATCATATGATCTCATTTCTATATATATATATATATATATATATATATATATATATATATATATATATATATATATATATATATACATATACATATACATATACATATACATATACATATAATGCTTCGGGTAAAAACAATGGGACCTTCGATAAGGTCCTTTCCTTGGGCTGAAGAATGATCTCGGTCCAATTGATGGTTGGGCTGAGGATTTTCTGCATAGCAAACACACATAAGCTGGCCTCTAGGGTGTTGTCGAGGAAGGCCCCTTCGATGCCTAAGTCAACAAAGTGTTTAGAGAGAGAAAGCTATGCAAAAGTATTAATTTCTTGAGGCTAGCTTAAAATCCGAATAATTTTAAATATTAAAGCTTTAGCCAATTAAAATCCGAATAATTTTAAATATTATTGTATTATATAGTTAAAGTCAAAATAAAACAACTGTGAAATACTCAAGATAGAGTTACCACAATAGAAGTAGGTAATTAGGTATGGCCCGTGTCAAATCTTAAGAGATTTAAGAATAAAAATACGGATTAATAATTAGCCTAATTCATTTTTTTTAAGGGTAAGAAAAAAGAAAACATTAGGAACCCTCCTCACGAAGAGAATTCCTAATGCATCTGAGGAAATAATAGGGTACAAAGATGAAGAAGTACAAAGAGTAATATCCATGTTATCACTAACAAGATGACCTACATTCGTGATCTAGTCTGCTAGTCTGTTTGCTTCTCTGTAAACATGGTTAATATCTCATTGCTGACACCTTTGAAGAAGATTGAGGATGTTGGCGATGATGTGACCGATTTGCCATGAAACGGACCAAACTTCTTTGATTGCGTTGATTACTAGGAGATTATCCCCTTTAATGACTAAATGTTGAATCTCATGTTGAAGAGTGAGAAGGATGCCTTTTTGAAGAGCTGTAGTTTCTGCAACAAAAATTGTGGTATGACCAAAGTGGAAGGCCCGAGCTGCGATAAGGAAACTGGTGTTGTCTCTAATAATATCATCTACCGCTAATGAGTTGTTTTTTAATAAACCGTCGAAATTGAGTTTAAAAGAGTTGAAGGGGGTTTTTTCCCAGAAAAACCTGCTAGCGCAGAATTGAACGGATGGGTACATTTATACATACACAAAACGCCCAATAGTTATTGTACTTTGTACGTATGTGTGACTTTGGATTAAGGAGCGAGTGGAGTGGGTGAGTCATGAATCTCATGAAGTCATGATGTTTTATACGTAGTATAAGCAATTGAGTTTATCCAAAACTTGCGTTTAGGACTTGTCTAGTTGTCTCTTGTCCGTGACCTTCGTTTAGGATTAGGAATATTTAGGAAATTACTCCTACGAATTTACGAGTATAGATGTTGTTTGGGTCCAATTTAGTCCAATTGGGCCTGGTCACTGAATGATCCAATTAAAAGCCCAAGGTTAAGGTTCAACTCTCCAAATGTGCTAAAGTCAAAAATCAACATCCTCAAAGCCATGTCAAGGTCAGTCAACGGCCCAATCAGCTTGGCCCAGCCCAACTGACTTCCGGGCCCAATCCACCTCCTTCATTAGCCAAGGTATAAAAGCCAACAATTTGGTCAATTCTTGGTAAGACAATAAAGCCTCAAGCAACTAAACTCTTGCACAGCTTTCTCTCTCTAATATACTGACTTAAGCATCGGAGGGGCCTTCCTCGGCGTCCCCCCCGAGGCTAGTTTACGTGTATTTGTTGTGCAGGAAACCCTCGGCTCCTGCGTCGTTCGGACCGAGACCAAGTTCCCTCAAGATAAAAGGATCTTCCGAGATTCGATTGTTTTCATCCGAAACAGATGTTATTTACATTTTCTTCGTCAATATATATAAAATTTATTCCGTACTATTTATCACGTTTATTTTCATGGATTATAACTTTAATAAGGGCTTATGTTTCTTTACACGTTTCCCCTCCCAATTATGAGTCTAATTACTCCGTGTATACATTAGTCCGTACTACGAAGCATTAATAAAACAACTAAACAAGCATATATAATTGAGATTACATGCATATCTCCGTAATTAATTTTACTCCCTACACTCCCTTATTTATATGTACCATAACTGTATTAAAGTAATCCTCAAAAGTCAAAAGTAATTTTCAATACACGGGTCATCGACTCAAAAAAAATTCCCACCCAAATACCCAATCAACCAAAAAAAAACAGCCTTGGAGTTATTTTAAAACACAAAGATTTGTTAATTTTAATAAAATTCAACTGTTACTCGACTAAGTAAACAATTATGCATCATTCAAAAAATAAAAAAAGTAAATCATCGAAGAAAATTAGTTTTCTGCATAGCTCAAGCATTATCTAGTTCATAATATGCTTTCCAAAAAAAAAAAAAAAAACTCGTAGTTCATAATATAAGGCTCACAAATTTTTGAATTTTTAATGGATTTAACAAATCTTTGTGTTTTAAAATTATACCAATAGATTCATTGAAAAATACTTTCATCACTCTATAATCTTTCTTACAATTGTCAAATTTAAGTATCAAATCAAATATCTAAAGTGCCATATATTATTAATCATAGGAAGTTTGAGTGAGACATAGAGATTACAAAGTTTTTATATGTAAAAAATATCGTTATCTTTCTCCATTTTGGCAATTTTTGCATATAATAAAATTATAATCTATCGATAGTACTTGTTGATCTAGCCTTTAATGAATTGATAATTTATACGTGTAGTTCTTAGCTTGAAAGAATTTAACCGGTTTGCAAAGTTATAGTAGGTTAAATGAACATGATTTAACATTACTTTGTCAATAAGAAATTCAAAATTTTGTCTCTATAAGGCAATTATAAAAAAAATGTTTTTTGGTCAATAGTTACTTCACCCACCTTTTCAATATCGTGACTTGACTAAGGGTCTATTCACATTTACTGAACTGAAGTAAAGTGAACTGAACTAAACTGATTGGAGCTGAACTGAATAGAGCTGAAATGAATATTTTATGAGAGAAGGAAATTAGAATGTGAACTGAACTGAAATTATTAAAGCAAAACCGAACTGAACTGAACTAAAGTGACTAGAGCTAAACTGACTGAACTGAACTGAAATTAAGCTGAAGTGAACAAGCTATAAATGTTTTCAAAAAATTACATAGAATAATATCATGTTTTTCATATATTAACTTAACAATTTCATGATTTTCCACTTCTTATAAATAACTCAAAACCATTGGCATCAATTTTAATTACTTTTGTGTATAAAATATATACTAGTCTAAATTTTACGTACTAAATTAGATTGGATATGTAACAAGAACATACAAAGCCCAACATGTTTAGAGCTACCATAACAAAAACCCATACCATTATGCAACATAGTTTCTAGTTTGAACCTAATCTGATTCCATAATCATTAACCAACATAACCCACCACGTAATAGCTTATAAATCTAACGTATTAGCATGATTCTATTATTTTAATAACACATTTATTATACAAACAACTATAAAGTGTAAATCATAGTTCTCAAATTTCTCATGTGCGCACGTGAGAGCAAGAACGTGAAAAAATATAATTTTACATCCATGTGTATAACAAAAATTACACAAATTAAAGCGATTTAGATCCTTAACTCCATAAATTCACAACACAACACAAATATTCAATATGCACTTGTAAAAAGCTCCAATCTATGAACTCACAAAAACCATTTTGGAAAGAAGCAACTCAATAAAAAATAAATTAAAAGAAGATTTTGTTCTATTGGAATTGCAAATGGGATAAGAAAGAAATGGAGACAAAAGGGTGAAGAATATAATTGAACTAAAAAAAAAAAAAAAAAAAAATAGAAATCTAGAAAAAATAAAAAGTTGTGGCTGAAAATTGTCTATCAATTTATAATTTTATTTTTGTATGCCCACTCAAGTAGTACTAACCACCTATCCTCTTTCTTCTTCTTCAACCTTGCTCTGAACAACCAACATTTTCTCTCTCCTCCCATGTGGAATGACCTGTGACTCTATAGCTTTCCATGTTTTTATACCCTTAAATCATGGAACCATAATTTCACCTTCCCCAAAATTATCTTGATTGAGAAATTATTCAATCATTAAACCCACAAAAAAAAAAAAAATTAAAAACACCCACATAATTTAATGCCCTTTTAAACTTACCATAAATACCAAAGATCTTCAAATTTGCTGATTGATTAATTGCTCCATACCCCATCTTCCTTTCCTTTTTTAGAGGATAAAAAAATAGTGGATATTATTATGTTTATGCTTATTAATTGAAGAAAAATAGCTGAAATTCCCAAAAAATAAAGATAAAATAATGGATGGGTGTAGTATAGTTTGGTTTAGAAGGGATCTGAGGGTAGAAGATAATCCAGCACTAGCAGCAGGAGTTAGAGCAGGAGCAGTAATTTGTGTGTTCATCTGGGCACCTGAAGAAGAAGGTCATTATTATCCAGGAAGAGTTTCAAGGTGGTGGCTTAAACATAGTTTAGCTCAGCTTGATTCTTCATTAAGAAGTCTTGGTACTTGTCTTATTACCAAGAGATCTACTGATAGTGTTTCCTCTCTCCTTGAGATTCTTAAGTCTACTGGTGCATCACAGCTATTCTTTAATCATTTATATGGTAAACTTTTTTTAAATTTTTAAATTATTATTTTTTGATTTGTTTTTGGTTGATTCTGACATGTGGGTTTTGTTGGGTTTTTTTTTTTTAGTTTTTTTATTTTTTGATGTTGTTTTATGATTGTTTATGTTGGATTATCAATGTTTTTAGATTTGTTAATTGATTTTGGTACTTGGGTTTTGTCTACTTTACTGTAGTTTATACTTGGGTTTTGTCTACTTTACTGTAGTTTATGAAGCTTTGTAAGGGTTTTGGACCATTTGGTTATAATTATGTGTGTGAGTATGTAAAATTGGTAATATATATTTTTTTTTCTGAAGTGGGGTTATGTATTTTAGTGATTACTTTTTTTGTGGATTGTGATGATGCATCATTTACTCCATCTGGGTAAGACTATGACTTTAGAGAAATTATTTTGATGCTAAAGGAGGAAAGCCTGTCTAGTTGTACCTTACATACTAATCTTAGCAAGTACCTGAAGATTGGAGGGAATGAAAGCCGAAAATAGAAAGCAATCGCCTCGCTTAGGTTCAGAGATGATGAATTTATCCCTAGAGAATGTAGTGTGTCATATATGTGAATGATGTAAATGCCTGCTTGCTTAAGCTACTGCTGCCTCAATTGTGGTAGCTGAGTTTACAGTTGCCCTTTATGGTGGCTTTCTGAATTACATCAGGAACCAATTTAATGAATTAATAGAACTTTTTCGAAGCTATCTTGTGTGATTGGATAATTGATCAAAAAATTTGTTTTAGTATTTCTTATATTTTGATTGAAATATGTATATTTTGTAAAGGATTATAACTTTATCAAGGTTAACTTGGGGGTGAGAATACTTCCACATCACCTCTGCCAATCTCCTTTTCAGCAGCTTACTCAGTTCAGTATATTAACTGAAGTTAGCAACTTCACATAATCATATTTGTTTGAGTTTGAGTTTGACTGTGACCTTGTGATGTAATGATGTATTGTTGTTGCTCCTTTATTTTGTAGTCTGATTTCTCTGACTGGTTCAACTAATAATTTTTGTCTGAAATTTCAGATCCTCTGTCACTTGTTAGAGATCACCGTGCAAAGGAAGTTTTAACAGGACATGGTATATCTTTGCGGTCCTTCAACGCAGATTTGCTGTATGAACCATGGGAAGTTGTCGACGAGAGGGGCCAGCCATTTAATACCTTTACTTCTTTCTGGGAAAGATGCCTTAGCATGCCTTTTGATCCCGAGGCTCCACTTCTTCCACCTAAAAGGATAATCTCTGGTTAGTAGTCCTTAGAGAACATCCCACTTTTTGGAATAATCATTTTTGAAAGGTGAATTTCGTAATAATTTCATACCTGCCTTTCAGGAGATGTGTCAAAGTGCCCATCAGACACACTGGTGTTTGAAGATGATTCAGAAAGGGGAAGTAATGCCTTACTTGCTAGAGCATGGTCACCTGGCTGGAGCAATGCTGATAAGGCTCTAACTACTTTTGTCAATGGACCTTTAATTGAATACTCGAAGAATCGAAGAAAGGCTGATAGTGCTACAACCTCCTTTCTCTCTCCTCACTTGCATTTTGGAGAGGTCAGTGTACGAAAGGTTTTCCACCTTGTCCGCATCAAGCAAGTCTCATGGGCAAATGAAGGGAACACAGCAGGTGATGAAAGTTGCAATGTGTTTCTCAAATCTATTGGTTTGAGGGAATATTCAAGATATATGAGCTTTAACCATCCATATAGCCACGAGAGGCCTTTACTTGGGCACCTCAAGTTTTTCCCTTGGGTGGTGGACGAAGGCTATTTTAAGGCATGGAGACAAGGTAGAACAGGTTATCCTTTGGTTGATGCTGGCATGAGAGAACTATGGGCTACTGGTTGGCTACATGATAGAATAAGGGTGGTTGTCTCTAGTTTCTTTGTGAAGGTTCTGCAACTTCCATGGAGGTGGGGCATGAAATACTTTTGGGATACTCTATTGGATGCAGACCTTGAAAGCGATGCCCTTGGCTGGCAATATATAACGGGCACTCTCCCTGATGGACGTGAGGTTGACAGAATAGATAATCCTCAGGTATTTCTTATACAACCAATTTGATCGTGTAGCTATGATTCAGACATATAATGTTAAGAAGAGAAAGCATGTTACTTTCATTTGATTCATCTCGATTACAAAATAAATGGTTGAAAGATAAGTATTTTTCTGATGACTAAAGTAAGAGAAATGATCACCCTTCTTTTTGCTGACAAATTTTATCTAGCATGGAAGATGATTATGTTAAGAAGGATGTGCTTTCTCTCTTTGTTCCCATTAATTTTACATGTGTTGTTTATGCTAAAAAATTTTAGGCATTACGAAAGTTTCTAGCAGACTAAGAGCTTGCAAAAAACAAGCCAAGAAATGTTCTGTGCTTCTTCTCTTTATTGATCTCTCTGTTTTTTTTTTTTTTTTTTTTTTTCCTCCCCCAGTTTGAAGGCTACAAATTTGATCCTAATGGAGAATATGTAAGACGGTGGCTCCCTGAACTTGCAAGGCTGCCAACTGAATGGATTCATCACCCTTGGGATGCTCCAGAATCTGTACTACAAGCTGCAGGGGTAGAGTTGGGATCAAATTATCCTCTTCCCATTGTAGGAATAGATGCTGCAAAAGTAAGACTCGAAGAAGCACTTACAAGTATGTGGGAGCAAGAAGCTGCTTACAGGGCTGCTATTGAGAACGGGACAGAAGAAGGGCTTGGTGATTCTGAATATGCTCCTATTGAATTTCCTCAAGATTTACGAATGGATATTGATCGTGAACCTGTTAGGAATATTAACCAAATTGACATTAACCGACGTCATGAGGACCAGATGGTCCCTAGCATCACCTCGACCTTGTTCAGGGTTGATGATTATGAAACTTCTTCAGATGTTCAGCAACATTCAGTGGGAGATGGGAGGGCAGAGGTTCCAAGAAATGTGAACGCAAATCAAGTGCAAGTGAGAGAGCCACCAAACCAAGGAGTTACTCCAGGGTCTCCAGCTCCTAGAAGAAATAATGTCACTCCACAACGTCAGGTAAACATCACATTTGGACTGCAGAATATAGAAATAGAACAGTCTACAGCTGAATCATCAAGTACTACTGGTGGTAGTCGAAGTAGTGGGGTGGTTCCTGTTTGGTCTCCCTCAAGCTCTACATTTGCTGATCAATATATTAATGATGATGCGACAATGGGACCTGGCTCCTCATTCCTGCAGAGGCATCCACAATCTCATGAACTGGTGAATTGGAGACGCCTTTCTCAAACTGGGTAAGGCCTTAACTTTGAATTCTAGGATATTGTCACAATCACTGTAAATGTTGGTGGTGTGTCCTATTCTGGACTCTCTGGTGTTTTGATCACTAATATGACCTTTCAGAAGAATCCTTTTTCTTTAAGTTAATTATTAATTTGGAAATTAAGGCATGGCCAATTTTTTGAAATGAAGGAAGTAACAATATGCTACATTTGTATGAATTTTATCCTCATACATTGATTGATTTAATAATATGAAAAATGTATCAAACCATCCCTATCTATTCCAGAATATGATTATTGCCCTGTGAGAAATTAGACCCCATCTGCGTAGCATGTTTATATGCTAATTTGTTGCCGATGATTGTTTAAATACCAATCTGGCAACAGGGACTAACTTTTTATACGAATTGAAGTAGGTGATCAATGTTCATTCATTCAAACCTGGTGGACAGATCGTTAATAAATCATGCTTTTGCCTTATCTGTATATAGGACAATGCCGGAAAACAAACATGGAAAACAGTAATGGAAAATAGAGATTAGGAGAAGGTTGTTGAGGTTTTAGTTAATTTGAATTATTGCATTTGATTACTAATTTACTGTATAAAAACTCTTCTGAAATACTCTGTTATTGACAGTTGAGATGATTTTGGGGAGAGTGTCCGAAGGTAAGAACATTGTATATCCTGATACCAAGGCAAATCATATGGGAGCAAGGACTTGTTATATTTATGTACATCCCGTGTATTTGCTGAAAGTAGACATCATTGTCCTGGTGCCGTGACATTCAAAAGTTCGATTGATTTCAGTAGCTCTGCTTGTGCCATTTTGGCTAATTAATACCAGCAGCTCTGCTTGTGCCATTCTGGCTTGTACCATTATAGTGTGTAGTTTTGCTGTATAGTTGTAGTGTTCTCGCAGGGGAAAGAGAAGAGTTGTCATAGGGATTTGTAGCCTCGAATAATCCCAGGCTTATCCATTTTCTTTCTGTGAAATATACTCCTATTTGCTACTATTGTCAATAATAGTTCTTGGTTCTGCATCTCGCTCGATCTTGTGCAGCATCACTTCAGAATTTCAGATGCTGGGATTTCCAATTGCTCTCAAGGACATTCACAAAACATGGCAATTTTAGAAGCTTTAACATGCTTTGTATGCTTTTAAAGCCTTTCCACTTCGAATGATGATAAAAGCACGTACATTTGCCATTACCACTTTTATTACTTTCTATGTAATGAGCCTTAGGTGTAGATGAAGCGAATGAGCACTACTGAAAAAAGAGGAAAACAATTTCAAGTTTTTAACGTGTCTTAATTAGGAGGAGGTGTGACAAAAAGGCCAGAAAGGAAAAGGAGATCTCTCCTGATTATGAAGTGGAGAACTGCAATGAAGGTTCAAGTATAGAGAAGGGGAGAGAAGTTCCTGTAAGAGATTATCTTACCACTAACTAATATGGCAGTAGGTTGGGTTAAATGGGAAACCCGACACATCGCTGCCCTACCCGTGCAAGTGGGGCGGGGATGGAGGGGGGTTTGGCGGGTGATGGGGCAGGGATGGGTATATAATGTGTATCTGCCATAGGTGATGGGGCGAGTTTAGATTTTAGAGCATACCCGCCCCACCCCGCCCGTACGCGCCCTATACCCGTTCCATATGTCCTTTAGAAGAGTTAAGAATTTATGAAACTTGATACCCCCTTAGGCCCAATCCGCCCAAACAGTAAGAGTCCTAAACTTTTTAACCTAATTTGATATAATTGTTATTAATATGATACAATACAACATCATGGCAGTAGGTTTGAGACGGTTTGGGGTGGGTATAGATATCCAAGTGGGTGGTTGGGTGGATCCTATCTTGTACCCGATGGGACGGGTATAGATGTGGATATTATACCCGCGTACGGGTGGTAGGGTGGGGATGAATATAAGATTTTTAGGTGGGTATGGGTATGGAGGTGCCATCATTCGCATCTGACCCGCCTCATTGTCATCGGGTTCTAATTAAAATGACCCCATGGCTCTTGAACTCGACCAAGTGCAATCTTAGCCTTCACCATTTACCTATGTGTGTCTGTGGTAAGACAAGGAAGTATGGAAATCCACACGTCAAGAGCAAAGAACCAAAAAGGTAAAATATATTCAAGGTATCATTTTTGTAGGTCTAAAAGGCGCAAAGGAACAAGCTTTGAGCACCTTATAGATAGCATTTATGATGGAATTAGTCAATCCCCGAATTTATATTGTTTAGCAAGTTATGAAGGCTGTACTCCTCCCCCCTCTCCCCAGTATAGTGTTCTTGTGTTAGTTTAGTAAAGAGAGCTAAACTTTCTTCTTGTTTATCTTGTAATCTCAAGTTTGTTGGGAGCTAGTCTCCTTTTCTGCCCATTATCAAAAATAAGAAGAAAAAAAAAGAGAGAGAGAGAATTGTGTACAAGATATAATTATAGCTCCTCATATACATAAAAAGAAGTGTAAAGGAAAGTTTTGTTTCATAAGACTCCATCAACATAATCTCTTATTGATTAAAGACATGCTCTATGTTTAATAAAATTGAAACTTTTAAATTTTGGACAAATTTAGGAGAAGCCGGTTTTAATAAGTACAATAGTTTATTCTTTGGTTCTTTCTTGTGGATCTTCAAACTTTTAAAATGATTTTTTTTTTTTCAATATATAATCTCGTTAAATAAGATCTTAAATTATACAAGTATAAATTAAGATTATTGATATTGACTAACATAAAAGAACAAAAATAATATCTTTCTCGAATTATTTGAATTTATTTTATGTTTCTATCCGGTGCAACAACATATATACGTAGTATATAAAGAGATTAGTAACCATAAGTCCATAATTGTCCTTTGACCAACTTGAGATAGGGTTTGTACTCTTGCAGAATTTCAGGGAAGCATCATTGATTGGCTATTCAGAATAAATTCTGGATAACTTTAGCACTTGTGAACCAATACCACTGCTTTCTCACTAAGCAATGTAATTCATCCTTACTATTTTTAGAATGAGGATATTGACCCAAGTGGTATGACAATGAAAATGATGCAACAATGCATGTAATATGTTACCTCTTATTTATGCAACTTCCAAGCTAACAAAAAAATATCTCACGCGTTTATTTGTTTCATTTTGACTTTTGACATCATCTATTTAATTTAATTTGATCATAGCTACTCCTTATACATGTTTAATCTTGTTAGATTCACGTCGATTTTTTTTTTCAATTACAAAATTGATTAAATTTAGGATCAAAGTTGCACATCAACAAACGTGACAAGCATAAAACATGTCAAATCAAAATAGAACAAATAAAAAACACGAAGTGAGTAAAACGATCTGATTGACATTGGATGGTTTGTTTAGCGTGGACGGTCGTCAACTTGAGCCGCCTAAGAAAAGCTAACCCCTAACCTTAGTCTTACAAATTGTTAAGTTTGTCTTCAAAGACTTTTCTAATGTTTGATATGAGCACTCCAAAAGCAATCTTTTAATATCTGCTGGTTTTAGGGTACCATGTTTGATAATTGATAATGATTGCAAATCTACATTTCGTCTATAAGTTTCATGGTCGGTTGGTCAATATGAATCTATAATATGTGATTATTTATGAAAAACTTGTAATCCGTAGTCCGTACTTACTTTTGCTCTATGTCGACTATATGATGTTAGATTATAATTTGTACAATATCATTATTGAAGGAAATAGTGGATGAAAACTATTGGTAACGGGTGATGTGATATTGTCGTGGAAATAAAGACATTATGAAATGTGTGACGTTTATTATATGGGATGAAGATTGAAATTTATTTTCATTTTACTTAAGATGAAAGATATAAATGTCAATTATATCATTAGTAGAATTATACTCTATATCTCCACAAATCTATCATTCGCAAATGGCAATATATACGGAATATGTTACTATGCATTAGGAATTTTTCTCGTGAGAAGGGTTTCCTAATGTTTACTTTTTTCTTATCATGTTAAAAAATACGGAGTATGTTACACTTAGGGTCTGTCCACATTTACTGAAATGAGCTGAGCTGATTGGAGCTGAACTAAACTGAACTGAACTGAACTGAATTGAGCTGAAATGAATATTTTATGAGAGGGAGAAATTAGAAGCTGAACTGAACTGAACTGAACTGATTGAAGCTGAACTGAACTGATTGGAGCTGAACTGAATTGAACTGAAATTAAGTAAATGTGAACAGGCCCTTAAGTGTACCATGTATTAAAAGATATCTTTACTCATTTTGCTCATTTGGGATTCTTAATTGAGAAAAGGAATAGTCTTAGATACACAGTACTGAAAATTATTGATTACTAATGATAGAAAAAAATAACATTGTGACAATGCCACAAAGGTATAAGCAATATCACCTGCAAATGCTTATTAATTAATCTTGAAACGTATTCTTTAAGGTAACAAGAACAAAGGCTAATCATGCTTACTACTAATAATTAATAACATTTCAATGATGAAGCATGAATATGTTAAATTGAGAGTTGAGAACTATATAGCTAAGAAGCATACATATGTGGAAGTTAGATTTAAGAACAATAATGAAGAACCATTTACATGAGTAAAATTGAGAGTTGAGAAACGCTCAAATTCTTGTTTGGCATCATTGTTTCCACGATTCTGTTGTAAAATTTCAAAATTATCATACTACGTATATTTAATAATTTTGACTAATTATTGATTTATTATTATGACATACATCATATGATTTTGAAAATCTAAAAACAAAAAAAACTATCGTGATGCCAAACGAACCTAAGAAAAAAAAAATTAAATCATATACAATATTTAATTTTAATTTAAATTATATCCTCATACAAACTTTACCAACTAAATTAGAAAAGGCAATTCATAAGGTTGCAGATAGGTTAGCCAACCTTGGGATCATTTGTGAAGATAGGTTTGCTTATAAGGGAGTACTAGTTTTGTGCCTCGTGCGATGCGCGGGTTGTTTATTGAATTTAAAGAAAAATTTTAATCTATAGGTCAAATTTAATATATCATTGATACAAAATTAATTAGGATTTGATGTTCTTTTGTGAAGATTTGCTATCTAGTAGGCATGTAATGACTATTTTTCAAAAAAAAAAAAGAAGGCATGTAATGACTAATAATAATGTTGGTAGAAATGTTCAATTTAGTAAATTAAAAAATAAAAAATTAGCAATAAATAAATAAAATAAAATAAATGTTCAAAGCTCGTTGGGTTGACCTGACCCAAAACTTTGGACAAGGGTTAACATTTCTTGACTTGTAACCTGAAGTGATCCAATCCGAGATGACTCATGACCCGACCTAATTGACAGGTCTTCTACGTAAAATAAATTTTTATTAGATTGTGAAGTATATTATTATTTTAACCGATTAGTATATATTATAAAGGTATGTTTTATGCTTTGTACTGTTTCCTTTGCTCCAAAAAATATTGTGATATAAAAAAAATTATATGATAATTTTTAGAATTATAATCTAATAATTTTTTTGAATAAAATAATAATTCAATTTGTACATATGAAATATTGGTATTTTATTGAAAATAAAACTCTAAACTAACAATTTTATCCTAAAATTCTATCTAAATATAATTATAAACTAACTTTTTTTATCTTATGAAATCTGATAGAGTATAAAACATATTCCCGGGCCTCAACCATCAGCTTAAGCTTTTGGTTGACTTGGTCCTCTAACATGGTATCGGAGCCAACGTGACATAGAGGTCACGGGTTCGAATCTCATCCACCCCTCCTTTAAAGTGGAATTGATTCGCGCCGGGTATAAGAGGGCCTGTGCTGCATCCACATTTCAAGCCCAAAGGGCCTTTCATGTGAGGGGGAGTGATAGAGTATAAAACATATTCCTGGGCCTCAACCATCGGGTTAAGCTTTTGGTTGAGTTGGTCCTCTAACAAAATCTATTTAAATCTATCCAATGTGACGTGACACTTGGCGACAAGTTGGAATGCCAAGTGTTAGCGTTAATTATTTCGTATATGATATAATATGATAGGATATTCTGTACGTATGCATAATAAAATAATAATAAAATAATTAATAATCTAAATTAGTTGACATCTACACCATCATTGCACCAGGCCGCCACACAATACATCCGCTACGTACGAGCCATGGCTCGGCATACAAACTCGAAAGACAAGTTGATGCGACCAGGACAATTAAGCTAGCCCAAACTCAGCTCTGAATGAGAGCAAGAGTTGGATTGGTTGCTCAGAGAAAATCCGGGAAAGAAAGGAATTCTCGAGAGGTGAACCAATGAAACAATGATAACAATAGAACAGAGAAAATGAGATTTAGAGAGAGAGAAGGAGAGTAATTTCATTAATCATGAAAAGTTCTTACATCATGATGATGGCTTATATAGCCTTACACTGATAATTCAAATAACAGAAAATGGCATAACAGAAAGATTCTTTCCTAAATACAGAGAACTTGATTATTCCTTCTCAACAACTTTTGCCAGCTGTCAACTTAACTGCCAACTCATCTCCTCCCTTTTCCTCATCTTCATTCAATGTAACAGTGCCCAATTCATCCAGACTCATGCTCAAGCTTGTATCAATACCTCCCCCTCGAGAATATCCTTGACCCCAAGGATCAAAATCAAGATACTTCTGCTCAATCTCTATGGCATCTGCCCAAGTGGCATCCTCAGGACCAGAATTTGACCATTGAATCAACCATTGAATCACAGCATGGTTATGGCGTTTGACACTTCTTTTATCTATCACCTTCTCAGGCACTTTAGGAATGGACTGATCAGGAGCATAGATAGGAGTGAGGTCAATGGTGGGTGGAATATGACCTACATACTTCTTAAGTTGAGAAACATGGAAGGTAGGATGTATCTTTGAAGAGCTAGGTAACTGAAGAGTGTAAGCCACCTGCTCTACTCTCTTGAGAATTTCATAAGGCCCAAAATACTTTGCATCCAACTTCTGGTTCTGCCTAACTTCTACAGAACTCTGTCTGTAAGGTTGCAGCTTCAAGAAAACCCAATCCCCCGCCTGAAATTCTCTCTCACTTCTTTTCTTGTCTGCTTGCTGCTTCATTCTATTTTGAGCAGTATGCAAGTGCTGTTTCAACACTGTTATAGTGGCTTCCCTTTCTGCAAGCTTTTGTCCATACTCTCAACCATACTAGTGCCAGACAAATAGGGTGTGTGCATGGGTGGGGTCTGTCCATACAAGACTTCATAAGGAGTCATCTTAGTAGCAGAATGATATGTGGTGTTGTACCAATATTCTGCTAAAGGCAGCCATCTAGCCCATTCTTGAGGAAAATCACTGCACATACATCTCAAATAAGATTCAAGACATCTGTTGAGCACCTCAGTCTGTCCATCAGTCTGGGGGTGGTAAGCTGTAGAAAGTTTCTGTTGGACACCTTGCAGTCTCATGAGTTCTATCCAAAAGTTGCTAAGGAAGACCTTGTCTCTATCTGAAACAATAGCCCTTGGAGACCCATGCAGTTTGTGGATATTATCTAGATATGCCTGAGCCACTTTAAGTACTGTGAATGGGTGAGATAGGGCAACAAAATGAGCATATTTGCTCAATCTATCCACCACCACCATGATCACCTGTTTACCCAAAGAATTTGGCAAACCCTCAATAAAATCCATTGAAATCTCATCCCACACTCTATCAGGGATAGGTAAGGGTTGTAATAACCCAGGAGAGGCACTCTGATCATACTTGCATTTCTGACACACAGCACATTTCCTTACATATTCTATGATAGATTTCTTCATTCCTGACCAATAGAACAGTGATTGGACCCTTTTTAGGGTGGCTTCCACCCCATAGTGACCCCCAGCTGCTGAGTTATGCAGCCATTGCAAAATCTTATCCCTTAAGTCAGGTAAGAACCCAATGACAAGCTTTCCCTTTCTTCTCAACTGATTATGCTGCCAAGAATAGTGAGGGTGCTTGGTAGGATCAAGTTGTATTTCCTTGATCAAATCCTGGATATTAGGGTCTTTATTCCACCCTTCCTGTATGTCATCCCAGAGAGTTGAGTTGGTTTGTGAGATGATCATAGCTGATAGCTCAGGACTTGGCATTCTAGAGAGAGCATCAGCTACCTTGTTCTCACAGCCCTGCTTGTATTCAATCACATATTCCAACCCAGCTAATTTGGATAGCCACTTCTATAGTGGGGGTGTAACTATCTTATGATCTAGCAGAAATTTGAGGCTCTGCTGACCAGTCTTGATAGTGAATGGGTGGAGCATCAGATAGTGTTGCCACTTTTGTACAGCACATACTATAGCCATCAATTCTCTCTCATAAGCAGAGAGATGTAGATTTTGATCAGATAATGCTTTACTAAAGTAAGCTATAGGGTGGCCTTGCTGCATCAGAACAGCACCAATGCCAGTCCCTAAAGCATCAGTCTCAATGGTAAAAGCTTTTCTAAAATCTGGTAAAGCAAGCACTAGTGGGGTGCTCATGACTTGCTTAAGTTTGTCAAAAGTGCAGAAGCCAGATCATCCCAGTGAAATGCATCTTTCTTGAGTAAATTGGTCAGAGGTCTGCTAAGCTTGCCATAGTCTTGTATGAATCTTCTATAATAACCAGTCAGTCCTAAGAACCCTCTCAGTTGTTTGAGAGTCTTAGGTGTTGGCCAATCAGTAATAGCCTTGTTCTTCTCAGGGTCAGTTGCAACTCCATGCTCTGAGATAATATGACCCAGGTAGTGTATCTAAGTAGCTCCAAAAAAGCATTTCTTCAAGTTAGCATGCAATGTGTGTGTCTGCATGCATTCCAATACAGCTTGTAAATGTTCCATGTGCTCTTGCCAACTAGCACTGTACACCAAAATGTCATAAAAAAAACTAAGACAAATTTTCTGAGATAAGGTTTGAATACAGAATTCATTAATGCCTGGAAGGTGGATGGGGCATTAGTTAGCCCAAAGGGCATCACCAAGTACTCAAAGTGACCAAAATGGGTCTTGAATGCAGTCTTGTGCACATCATCAGGGTGCATCCTAATGTCATGATAACCAGATTTTAAGTCAATCTTAGAGAAGAATTTAGTGCCCTGCAATTCATCTAATAATTCTTCAATAACTGGGATGGGAAACTTGTATTTGATAGTTGCCTTGTTTAGTGCCCTGTAGTCTACACACATTCTCCATCCCCCATCCTTCTTCTTCACCAACACAATTGGAGCAGCAAAAGAGCTATTACTGTCTCTAATTACCCCTTGCTCCATTAATTCCTGCACTAACTCCTCAATAACATCTTTTTGAGTTGCTGGATACCTATAGGGTCTGATATTAATAGCATCAGTTCCCTCCCTGAGTGGTATCTGGTGGTCGAATCTTTCCCTACTAGGTGGTAACCCAGCAAGTGCAGCAAATACTTATGGGAATCTACCCAAAAGAGACTACAAAGCATCTTGCTCTGGCTGACTGTATGCCCCTTCCTCAATCTCAGAATGTAATCTGAGATCTGAATCTTCAGTTACTAACTGCATCATGGACAGCTCACCCTCCCTTTGCAGCAACTTAGAGAGTTGGTCAGCCTGTATGCCCTTCAATTTCTTGTTTGTTGCACCTCTAAGCTTCACCTTCTTTTGATTCAGCTTAAATTCCATTGTGAGATTCTTAAAATCCCATAATATTGGACCCAAGGTAGAAAAACATTGGATTCCCAATACCATGTTGCTATCACTCAAGGGTAGCAGTAACAAATCTGCAGTGAAAGTGTAACCCTGCATTTTCCATGTAAACCCTTTAATCTTGGCATCACACTTAATCCTGCCCCCATCAGCTACTTTCACCCATCTAGGTGACATGTTCTCCACCTTACACTGTGATTTGAGAGCAGTAGAGGTGTCTATGAAATTATGAGTGCTGCCACTATCCAAGAGAATATGAAGCAATTTCCTTCCAAACTGCCCCATCATTCTCATGGTATGAAAAGTGGTATTGCCATCTAGAGCCTGTAAAGAGATCTGAGCGCATTCAGCCTCAGCATCCATCTCATTCTCATTGTGCTCCCCCTCCTCATCAGAATCATCCCCTACTTCTATGTGATAGAACTGGGGTTTCTTTCCCTTACATTGATGGCCAAATTCATATTTCTCATTACACCAAAAACAAAGGCCCTTGGCTCTTTTCTCATTCATTTCCGCAGCTGTTAAAGTTTTTCTGGTTGTGTTTGGGTTTGTGTTTAGCTGGTTCGTGTTTGGTTTATTATAAGTGGAATTGGTCCCTCTCCAAGTGGAAAGGGATCCTTGGGTGGATAGGAAGGGTCTAGGGGGAGTAGGTAAGAGAGGTTTGGTTTGAGGTCTTGGTTTTCTAGCTTTATGGGCTGCTTCCTGTAGCTTAGCTAGACAATGAGATTGTTGTAATGTGGTTGGAGAGAACATTCTCACAGCCAGCTGAATCTCTTCCTCCAATATAGCAACTGATTAAATATTCCTGAGAGAGATTCAATCTGCTAGCTAAAGCATCAAAAGCATCATGGTACTTTTGAATAGTCCCGATTTGCTTAAGAGCTTTTAGATCAGCCATAGGATCATCATAGATATCCCCAAATCTAGCAGTTATACCAGCCACATACTCAGTCCAGCTACATTGTGGTGTATTTTTCATAAAATTCTGATGTCATAACAGGGCTATGCCTTCTAAGTGTATAGCAGCAAGAGAAATCTTATTTTCATCAGATATACCATCAAGATCAAAAAACTGATTGCACTTATATAACCATGACTTAAGATCATCACCATCAAATTTAGGAAAATTGATTTTTGTGAGTCTAGAAGAATATTGAGAGTAATTTTTCTGTCCTGGTTCAGAAGTGTCAAGGGTTTTCACAGGAGTTTTAATGGGTGAGTTAACATCAGAAATTAATTTAGTAACTTGTACAGACAAACCCACCATCAAATCATGCAATTCAGAAATAGATTTGTATTTTGACTAATATTCAGATTATTAGTGCTATTAGTTTCGTTCAGGGTCTTACATTGCTCATCCAGAAGAGATCTGAGTGAGGATTCCAGCTTCTGAAGATCAACAGCTGTCACCGCCTCCGTGTCATCAGTGTTCTGATCGGGGTTCTTTCGTGGTGGCATTGAATATCCAAGGAGCGTATGGCTCTGATACCAATGATGCGACCAGGACAATTAAGCTAGCCCAAACTCAGCTCTGAATGAGAGCAAGATTTGGATTGGTTGCTCAGAATGATGCGACCAGGACAATTAAGCTAGCCCAAACTCAGCTCTGAATGAGAGCAAGAGTTGGATTGGTTGCTCAGAGAAAATCCGGGAAAGAAAGGAATTCTCGAGAGGTGAACCAATGAAACAATGATAACAATAGAACAGAGAAAATGAGATTTAGAGAGAGAAGGAGAGTAATTTCATTAATCAAGAAAAGTTCTTACATCATGATGATGGCTTATATAGCCTTACACTGATAATTCAAATAACAGAAAATGAATAACAGAAAATGGCATAACAGAAAGATTCTTTCCTAAATACAGAGAACTTGATTATTCTTTTTCAACAACTTTTGCCAGCTGTCAACTTAACTGCCAACTCATCTCCTCCCTTTTCCTCATCTTCATTCAATGTAACAGTGCCCAATTCATCCAGACTCATGCTCAAGCTTGTATCACAAGTTTCCCTTAAAACGGGATTACCCGGGGTAAGGATATATGCAAGTAATAAAAAAGAAAGCGATATGCGTAGAAGAGTAAAAAAAAAACACAGTCATCTCATATTTGTGTTGCTATAGCAAATAGGATATTAAAATAAAATAAAAAGGATTTAAAAAAAAAAAAAAAAAAAAAAAAAGATAGCAGACCAAAAAGTCAACACGGAATAAGTCGTAGTACTTCCTTTCCTTCCTTGAATACTACTACTCCGCACCTTCCCATTTTCCATTTCCTTTTCAATTTTTACATTTTCTGTTTTCTTCTTCTTCAATCCCTAAAACCTTTCCAATTATAAAATATTATTTTCATCATTAATAAATTCCTTGTTAAAATAATAAATTATTAAATATAAATTCCTTGTTTTCCTTCTTTTTTTTTTCTCTTAAGGCGGTTATAAAGTTTGAGCACACGCTTATTAACAACTCCTCTCCGTCGTCATCATCGCCGCCGTCTCCGACGCCGTTTCCACCACCGTTCATTCTCTTGCTTGCTTTTATTTTTCCGGTAATATTTATTTTCCTTTTTATTTTTGTAAAACTTTGCTCAAATTTGATGAATAATTGGTTGACTTTGATTTTGATTTTGATTTTTTTTTGTTAGGATCGTCAAATATTTTCCATGGATATGCTTTGTTGTTTTAATTCTTCTGAGGTAATTCTCTCTTTCTTTTTCTATTTTGATTAAATTTATACATGTTAATTTCGATTAATTAATTCGAATTCTACTGGTAATTTTTTGATTAATTTTGTGTTGATAGATTATTTAAAATTGAAATTTGTATGATAATTAGTGTTTTAGAGCTTAGGTTTAATTGGAATGCAGCAGAAGTGGTTTTCTGGTAAAGCGATAGAGCTGATTTTTGAGTTTGAATAATGGTGTCACTTTTTTATTGGTCCTTATAATTTGGAAACCAGCTATTAAAATTGAAAAAAGTTCAAAAAAAAAGTTGATTTTATCCTGATTTTCTGCTATTATTGAGCGCCTTTTACGTTGGAGTACTGAAAAATATCTGGTTTACTTTCTTTTGATTTTGATATGGAAATTATGTTTGCTAGAAAGTGTGCCCATAAAAACACAAGTATTACTCTGTATTTTCTTCGTCTCTTAATACTGGACAGTTGATACTGTGTCTTTCAATATGTCAATGCACAAAATTGACCATCGTTCCTCGTTTTTGTTTTTTTTTTATCGTGCTATTTAGAATGATTCATATGCAAAGGAAATTTAATAATTCTTCAATAAATAGTAGAAACAAGTGAGATTTTGTTTGGTTCATTTTAAAGTAGATTCACAATAACAATGTTTTGTAATATGGAGTATGTATTTAAACATGAATTGAAGTGTTTTGAAAAATGGAAAAAAAATTATAATAGAAAAGAAACAAAGGGATTAGAATAAAGTTGTTATATTGAAAAAAACTTTGACACTAAAACAATGTGGTCATGTACTCATGTATGAATTAGATTGAATAGTACAAAAGTCAAGTGTTCCAAGTATTAAGAGACAAATAAAGTAAATTATGTACACCATAATTACATATTACCTCCGGTTCTTATTACTCGCGACAAAGGAATATTTTATGTCTTACAAATAATACCCCTTTGTTGCGAGTAATAAGAACCGGAGGTAGTATATATTTTGACAGGCAAGGGATTAGTGATTAAGAATCAGCTACATGACATCTACTGTGATAATTGTTGCATATATTGCTTGTGTTCAGTGATAGTGATGCAAATATATTCTTGGCTTTGGCTTTTTTTAGATCAGTGGGCAACAGATTTCATGCACTTCAGGAAAAGGAAGAAGCACTCAAGGTCAAGTTACATTCGGATACAGTCTTGTTAAGGGAAAAGCTGACCATCCTATGGAAGATTATCATGTTGCGAAGTTTGTAACAATGCAAGAACATGAGCTTGGACTGTTTGCTATATTTGATGGTCATTTGGGAGATGCTGTACCTGCCTACCTCCAGAAAAATCTGTTTTGCAATATCTTCAAGGAGGTTTGTTGGTTGGTTTTTCTTTTTTATTTTTTTTACTCTGTCTTAAACTTGAATAAGTTATACTCCCTATATTCATAAATAATAGGCCATATTTGACTTAAATTATCATAATGTACTTAGATTGAGATATGATGTGAAAATCATAATATTAGATTCATCTAAAGACAATTTATTGATATTGTATAGATTAGTATAATGATAAAAAGTTTGCTGTGATAGTCAAATTTGATATGACTTCAAAAATTATATGTGGCCTATTTTGTCGAGGATGGGGCTAATATTGTTTAATTCTTCCAATTTCTTGCAAAGATGATCACATTTATCTTGACAATTTTCCCTACTCATTGTTTCTTAGGAAGAGTTTTGGGTTGACCCTGGAAGATCAATACCAAAGGCCTATGAGAAAACTGACGAAGATATTCTGTCTCAAACTACTGACATTGCCCGAGGGGGTTCCACAGCTGTTACTGCTATTCTTATTAATGGCAAAAGGTTATGGGTTGCTAATTTGGGAGATTCCAGAGCTGTTATCTCAAGAGGTGGTCAGGCTCTGCAAATGACGGTTGATCATGAGCCCAACACAGACAGAGCGACCATTGAGGGCAAAGGAGGATTTGTCTCAAATATGCCAGGTTACTTGACCTCCCTTTGTTTTTTTTTTTTTTACCAATTTCTTTGCCATCAATAATTATTTCCAATTGATAAGAGATACGCCATAAGTCCAAAAGGCTCTTAGCTAAAAAATAAACAAAAAGCTTTTGCACGTTTACTACGTGGTGAAACCAAGTCAGTAGTGCACATATTTCCAGTGTTTTCTGCTAAACAAAAATTACCATCATAAGTAGAAAACTATGGAAAACTTAATTTTTGTGTGTCTTATCTCTTATAGAGAGATCACTTATCTTCGTTGTATAATTTTTGTTTTATACGTAGAAATTTACCTCCTTTTGGTGGCATTTTGTATTCTTCCTGTTAGATCTTCTTTCTCCCATTTTCAGAAGTTGGTTGAGATGAAGATAAGATAGACATGTACAATAGAAGTTTGAAAGGTTCAAATAACAGAATTATATTCTTGGAGAGTGTAAGAATGAAAGCATGATACTTAACAAGGCAGGTCATTAACACTAATACTACGCTGTCATAGGGGACTCTGTAGCTCATGGAACTTAGCTTGTTTGTTTCCTTAAAATGGATTACTGTCTTGGTAAACTCTGCAATCTTCCTGCTTCCAAATTTCTGTTGTCTACTTCTCCAGTTTTCTCATTCATCTTGTTTGAGTTGATCAGCCACAGTATTAAGTAATTGGGTTGTAAATAGCTAGTTTGTATTATCTTTGTATCATTCAAAAGTCCTGATATATGCTCGATGAATTCTTAACTAGGTTTAGCTTCTTATGACCAATTGATGTGCTATAAACTGTACATTTGTCACTTATTGAATGCGCTTAATCTTATATGTTTGTTTTATTTCAGTTCTTGGTAGAATTTCTTCTAATAAATTATTAAATAATGAAAAAGACTGTATATGAGTTAATAAGGGATCTTTTGAGTAGGAATTACATCCTTCAGAAATGCTTCGTATATCAATTACTTGCCTTGATATATTTTTTTTTGCTTGTTTATTAGGAGATGTTCCTAGAGTAAATGGTCAGCTGGCAGTTTCTCGTGCTTTTGGAGACAAGAGCCTAAAGTCACATCTCCGTTCAGACCCAGATGTACAAGATATAACTATTGATATCAATGCCGATCTCCTAATTCTTGCCAGTGATGGTCTATGGAAGGTGATTTCTAGATTTCAGTACTGTTATTTGCTTTGCACTTCTTTTAGTAAAAAAAAAAAAAAACCAATATCCAGGCCTCTTTGGAATTCGACTTATTTCAGTTCGAGCCAAATTTGGTCCAATTGTGGGGTAAAAGATCTTTCCTTTTAATGATGTTTGCATTCCTAGACATCCTAATGCTCAAGGTTGAGATCTTTGGATTAACTTAGCTGGACCATTTCCAATGGTGCATTTTGTTTATTACTGTTATTCCGTTCTTGAGAAAATTGCTGTAACTGCTATATTTTGTGCAGGTAATGTCTAATCAAGAGGCCGTAGACATTGCAAAAAAGATAAAAGATCCACAAAAGGCAGCAAAACAGTTAGCATCTGAAGCATTGAAGAGAGATAGCAAAGATGACATATCTTGTATCGTAGTAAGATTTCGGTGATAGAATCCTCGCTCACAAGGTCCTTTAGTAAGCTGAATTACAGGTGCTAGATGCTATATTGCACACAACTTTGATTGATATCTGCAAAGATCGGGGGGAACGCTTACTTGTTTGTAGACATTGATTTTTGGTGAAAAATGGTGAAAAAAAAAATTACCCTTTCCCCTGGAAGGAAAAAAAAGTTTGAGATTGATGCATATAAATTTATTCTTTTGCCAGAATGTGTTATTCTGTCATGTATAATTTGATTTATTAATAACTGGAGGAATGTGGGTGTTAGGTACTGTTCTGTGTGGCTTTAAGAATATGGAGCAATTTCTTTCTTTCTTTGTTAAAGATGATTATTAAGTGGATTAATGATGTCATTATCCAATTAGAGAGATATTGCACTGTACAGATGTAATGGTGATTTGATTTCTATTAGTGATAATCTACGTTGACTATGTATATTGAACATCAACTTTATTTGCCAATTGCCTTGTCTCTATTGATTTGAGTGAGGATTGGGGTAGGCTTCTTTTGCATTATATCCAATCAATTGGGATTTTCTCCAATAACTAGACGTTTTGGAGAAAATACTTGTTAATATGAGGGTATTTATTGTATTTTCTTAGCTTTGCCCCCTTTCTCTCTCCTATACTTACACCTTCAGCCCACCTTTGTCACCACCTCACAATCATACGCACCATCCACTACACGACTACCAACATCACTACACGACAACCGGCATCACCGCACGACCGTCGTACTTTCGTTAACACCATCATGCGACCATTGTACTACCGTTAACACTATTACGCGACCACTGCAACACCATTAGAACCACCATTTTGACCATTAGCGCCACTGCCACACGAGCAAATTCCTTCCCCTAAAGGGTTAGTATGGTCCCAATTTACATGTTTTGCAACTAGGGTGTCTTTTGTTTGGCCGGCCGAATTATACCTTCGAAGGTGGTCGTGCAACTATGGCTGAGCAAAGGAGTGAGTCCCTAAAGTGCTTTGGGAGGGGAGGAAAGGAGAGAGAAGAAATTGCTTTTGGAGGGGAGGAGAGAGAGTCATTTTAACAAAGTTTGTTAATATGACATATTAACTGGGGGCAGCTCGACGTTTTATTTCTATAAAAATTATTTTTTTTTGCAGTCAATCCAAAAACTAAGTATACATCAGGAGATAGATTTCTTTTTTTTTTTTTTTTTTTTTCCTTTCGGTACAGACAGGGTAAAAGGTGGTAGATTGCCTCGTTCATGGACTAACCAACATAAAAATAGGGTGGGGTATCAATGTATTAGAATGGCCGGTGAAGTATCGCCCACAAATTTGGACATTGTGGTGGCCTTAAATGTCATAAGTTGAAAGGTAGAAAAACAAGTATGGGGAAGTTGGCAGCAGTAGCTTTTGACAATTTTTTTGAGTAATAGCTTTTGACAATTTGTTTTCATGGAGTTCTACAAATGTTAGGACAAGTATTGGGTTATGCAGTGTGCAAGCAATCTTGTCTAAGTTTGTGTATAATTTGAAAATGTTTGGATGAAAGAGTGTATGAGGTGCATGTTGGAAGTTCTTGATATAAAATAATAGAGTTGGGGAAAAAAACAAGAGAGAGAGAAAAACAAATGAAAGGGGAAAATCACACATTGATTGGGGGGAAAGGTTTTTCCTTGTTTTTATATTGTAGTGTCTTAACACTACTTAGTTGAGTGAGTGGGAGGTAAGTGTTACTACACACACGCACGCGTCGAGCCAAGTCGGGCTCAGGTTTTGGGGAATGCGATGCGCGGGCGTGCACTAGTAGAAAATATCAAAAAGGCACCCCCTAATTGGCACCGGTTCAGTCCAAACCGGTGCCAAAAATGGCCTACAAAATTGGTGGAAACTGAACCAGAGTAAAAGGCACCGGTTCACTTCAAACCAGTGCCAAAAACAAATAGGCCACCGGTTTGAACCGGAACCATTAAAAAAAAAAAAAAAAAAACACGGTCCTTTTAAACCCACCCCAACCCTAAAACTACTCCTCTCACCTCTTTCTCTTTCTCTCTCTCCTCTCCTCTCCTCTCATCCTCTTTCTGGGTTTATTCTCGATCTCCTTCTCCTCAAACTGAACCAGTTTTAACCAGTTTTATTTCTATTTATCTTTCTCGATCTCCTTCTTCTCCTTCTAATTCTCTTTAATTTTTCGATCTTCTTCTCCCTCACAATCACGAAGAACACATGCAACATCTCGATTTTCTGGGTTTTTGAAGACCACATTCAAAATCTCGATTTTCTGGGTTTTTGAAGACCACATGCAACACCGATTTGTGAGGGAATTTATGGGTTTTGTTTTAATTTTCTGGGTTTTTGTTTTAATTTATTTTTTAATCGATTTTTTTAAAATTTTAATCGATTAAAATTCTTTTTTTTTTCTGGGTTATTGGTTAGATCGATTTCAATCAAATTTCTGGGTTATTGTTTTGATTTTAATCGAATTTTTGGGTTTTTTTTAAAAATTTTAATCGATTTTAATTTGAATCGAAGTTTTCATCTTTTTTTTAATTAATTTCGATTTTGATTTTTTTTTTCAGATTTAAATCGGATTTATTTTCGATTTCAATTATTTTTTGTTTCTGGGTTTTTCGAACACCGATTTTAATTTTTTTCGAATTCTAATTTTTTTGCATTGGTTTTTTTTATTTTAATTTTTTCCAATTTCTGGGTTTATTCGATTTTAATTTTTTTGCATTGGTTTTTTTTTATTTTAATTTTTTCCAATTTCTAGGTTTATTCTAATTTTAATTTTTGCATTGGTTTTTTTATTTTAATTTTTTTTTCTGGGTAACACCAATTTCAATTTTTTTTTTCGTTTTCTGGGTTCTGGGTTTGAATTTTTTTTCATTTTTTGGGATTAAATTTCTGGGCTTTTTCTTTCGAATTTTAATTATATTAATCGATTTTTTTTGTTTTAATTGGTGCAGGTATGTTATTTAGATCTGAAATCGAAGAAGCAAGATACAAGCAAGAATGAATGAGTTTTTTTTTTTTTTTTTTTGAATTTATATTGTAATTTATTTTTATATGCTGTAATCAAAGTTTTTTTTTTGTTGTAATTTTTTTTTTTATCATATATTGCAAATTTTCGATTCTTGTTGATATGTTGCACTTTTCGATTCTTGTTGATATATTCCAAATTTTCGATTCTTGTTGATATGTCGCAAATTGGCTGGAAAAAACAAAAATATATATATATATATATATTTTTGGCACCGATTAACCGGTGCCAAAAACAACAAAATAATTTTTGTTGGCCATTTTTGGCACCGGTTAACCGGTGCCATTTCCAATTTTTGAACCGGTGCCTTATTAAACCACTTTTGGCACCCCTCACATAGGCAGTGGTTCAAACCGGTGCCTTAGACCGGGTTTGAACCGCTGCCAAATGCCTTTTTTCACCTAGTGGTGGGTCCTTGTTATCTTTTTGGAGAAATTTTATTTCCCTTTCTTTATTAAACAGAATATTCTTTTTGTCTATGTACTTCTTTAGGTGGCTTGTATAACAAAGATATTTGCATCCTATTATTGCAATGAACAAATTAAAGTAATTTTATACCCAAAACTCATTTGATGTACCATAGAAGTACATTATGTATTGAGATGAATTATTCATCCATCTCTACATAAACTACACTTTTAATAAAGATACAAGTGAAATTTGCATCACAAAAGCAGTATACCTCCACAATAAAGTTGTCAAAAGTTGACCCGATCCGAAATACCGACTCAAACCCGATTATCAACCGACCCATCTGAATCCGAAAAAATGATGACCTAAACCCAACCTGAAACCAACCCTAGACCCGAGTTGACCCGAGTATGTGAGACCCGAACATGAACTGACCTGGAGATGACTAGACTTGAATGTAACCCGTAAATTATTGACCTGAACCGAACCCGACTTGAACAGAAATTGGCTCAAACCCGTTTTAACTTGCCAAAACCCGAATTTAACCCGACTTGTTACTAACCTGACCTGAATTCATCCCGACCCGTTCCTAACCCGACCTGAATTTAACCCAACCTGTTACAAACCCAACTCGAAATCAACCCGAGTTGTTATTGACCCAACCCGAATTTTACCAGACCTATTACTAACCCGACCCAAAAATTCAACCCGATTTTTTACTAACCCGACTCGAAATCAACAAGACTTGTTATTGACCCGACCTAAATTCAACCCAAATTGTTTCCTGACTCGATTTCAAATAAAATCACCTTAAATGCAATTTAGGCCTTATTATTATTGTTGATCAAAGCACTTTGTCTAGGGAGACCAAGTCGGTCCAGGCCAGCAAAAGAAAGGACCATCATCCTCAAATTTAAGCGTTAAATATAGCATATATTTGTTGTATGGTCAAAGGAGATAATTATCTTCCTAAATTATAAACTATAGTTCCCTAGTATATAATGCCATATATATTATAGTCAAAGGAAATAATTAGCTTGATAAAAATGATAATTATCTATTTATAGTTAGTTGAACCCGAATATGACCTGACTTGAAAATGACCCGACCTGATTATAACCTGCAAATTATTGACTTGAACATAACCCGACTTGAATCCGAGAATGACCCGACCTGATTATAACCCACAAATTATTAACTTGAACCGAACCCGAGAATTCCCTAACCCGTTTTCACCCGTGAAAACCCGAATTAAACCCGATCTATTGTGCACCCGACCCGAATGTAACCCGACCTGTTATTAACCCGACCCAAACCCGATAAGAAGTATAACCCGGCGTGACCCGACTAAAGCATGACTCGACTTGCATAAGTTATGGAATTAATCCAAATTAACTCGACCCGAGTTGGGCCGGCCCACTCTTAGTGACCCATTTACCCGAATAGACAGCTCTACCCGAAACCTCCAAAATTCCTCAAGAAGCAAGGATATTAGCCTTCAATTTTGGAATTTTTTGACTTTTTTTTCACCCGAAAATAAAAATTTCCGAAATGTTTACCAGAGTCCCTAATACCCTCTGGGAGTACAATTGGGTGGGTGGAACCATTCAATTTGCCTTTAAACAACCAATTTACCGGTTTACAGCTTTCACCGATTTCATCAACACAAGCCTACCACGAATATTTATGACAACATATAATGATCATATATGGTTCCAAACGACATTATATGACCCCGAGATGTATCCCTCAAAATCTCAATGCTTTTCGACACTTGACACTAGGCCCCGAAACAATCGAAATTTCTCAAAAATCGTGGATATTAACCTTCAATTTTGGAATTTTTTGACTTTATTTCGCCTGCAAAAAAAATTTGCCAAAATTTTTACCATGGTCCCTGATAACCTTCGGGAGTCCAATTGGGTGAGTTGAACTATCTAATTTGCCTTTAAAAGACCAATTTACTTGTTTACAACTTGCACCGATTTCATTAAATCAAGCCTACCACGAACATTTATAACA